CTTAAAATGTCATAATGCATATACATCACATAAATTTTTCATTTGGCATTGATTTCTTAGTAAAATAAGTGATCATGTTTGAAAGACTAAATGTACTCTTTTTTCTTAAGAATTAAGTTAATATATTACAATATTGAAATTAATTGGGTTCGATAAAGGGTACTTGATTTCGAAGATTTTTGAGTGACTAAATCATTTTATTAAATTTAATTTAGTTACAGTATCTAAATTTAACTAAAAGAGTGCATTATTAAATGGTTACCTTGGTTAGTCGTGCAATCATCATCAATCGTACCTATTTAAAACACGTGGCCCTAAGAATATTCAACATACTTTAATTTCTTTATCTAGATTTTGATTTATCTCTCTAGGATTTTGCACGTGGGTCGAGCTAAAAATAATTTTTTTAAAAAAAATCAAGAAACAAATAACGTAGAGAAATTTTATAATACACGAGGAGTAACTAATGGTATATGCAGTAATTACTCTATGGATCCATTTTGAAAAGAGAGATAGACATACAAAAAAAAAAAGAAAAACATGAGAGAAAAAAAATTTGAATGAATGTAGAAATCTTCTTATCACTTTTGATGGGTATAGATATAATTTTTATCTTTTTTTATGTATCTATCTCTCTCTTCAAAGTGGATCCATGAAGTAACTATCGTACATGCCATTAGTTACTCCCGATGTATTATAAAATTTATCAATAACGTGGGTTTAGGGCCAAAGAAATAATTTTGATGTTATTTTGATTTATTTTTAAGATTTTCAGGTTTATTTAAACCTTTTATTTTATGATAAAATTACCTAATTACTAGTTCTCATTGTTTTTTAGTCTTGAGTTTTTCTGTTATGAGTTGTACACATTATCATAAATAGTGCCTCAGTAAGAGACCAACTGACATTCTTTTTACATTTAATTATATAATTTTCAAAAGATTAGGCATCTATCTAAACAACATTAAATGCGAGACACTTAATTTTGAAAATCGATTGAGTTCATGCATTAAAAATTATGTTACTTTTATCGTTATCATATGCCATGAGATGTTTTCTGAAAAACTAATCATAAAAAAGTCATTGTCACTTTTAATACTAAAGAACTAGAGAAAATCCTAAATTAATATCCACAACCCTAAAAAATAATAAAAAATAATAATGATTATCCTAGACTGCATTTTCTAAGAGAGGTTGCCACTCTCACTTTTGATTCTAAGGTTCCAATTATTCTAGTTATTTTTTTTCAATGAAAAATTATTATTTAAATTATTAGATGTGTTTATTGATGTCTCATCTAACCGTGCAAGACACGAATTATGAGTTAAAAGGATGGTTTGGCTCACCATTTACAAATTTAGTTTGTTGGAACCTAAATAGGAAAAAGTGATTTTTGTCTAAGCACGAAGTTTATGTCCAATTACGCTTGGTCAAGGGTTTGAGAGTCACGATCCAACCCATTGTCCTATATACCCACCAAACACATAATTCCACTATAGATTAGTTACGACAAGACATGATAGAATGCAAATCTTATCTAACATCTTTGTCGAGAGAGGTTTTTCTATAGTAATCTCATTAGGCAAGCATCTAACCCTTTTTTAAAATAATCTAACTTGTTTAGAGTCAAATCCTTGATTATAACAAATGCTCACCAATGAGAATCTCATTCTAACGCTGACAAGATACTTAAAAGGTGTTGAGACTTAATACATAATTACTTAGCACATACGTTTGTATATCTATTGATTTAATACATAAAAAAATGATAAAATATTTTCACTTGTATTCGTTTTTTTAATTCTTTATCTCTTGTTTTCTTCATTTTGGTTTATCTTTCTATGTAAATAAGTATTGTCAATAACTATTAAAGCGTGATAAAATTTATCTACTAAATGAAGTTTTTATTGAGACGTGGGTAGTGTTACTTGGCTTAACTCTTGTTTAGAGTTTCGATTTTAAACATGTTCATGAGATTGATGAGATTATGAAGTTTTAATTAAAGATCGTTTAGTTTCTCAAGATGATGTTTCTTAATATCCATCAATATATCAAATTTTAGTTTTTTTTTTCATAAAATTGAGTTATTTGTATTTAATGTCTATACAATGAGAGCAATCGTTGTGCAGATTTATTAGTAAATTTTGACTATAAGCTTTTATTGGACATCTAGTGTTTTATTTTCTCTCATTTAGGTGTTAATTCTTTAATTTATGTCATTGGGATTAGTTTACCTTATCATTGTTATATGTAATTTTTTTCTTTTTGAGTCTACCTTTCTTTTTATCAAAGAAAGAAAGAACAAAAAGAATAGAGCTTTTATTTAAAAAGTTAAGCAGCTTCAACATTAAGATCTTTGCCATCAATCCACCATGGCCGTGGTTCGATGAGCGAAATGCAAGGGGATTTTTCCCATAAAGCTCAATCAAATAGTTATATTTAAAACGGTGTAGTTTAGTTCTATTTTAAGAGCCTAGTTAGCCATAATTTTTTTTTTTAAGGCCATTTTTAACCATTTATCCATTTTGGAAAAACTTTATGTTTTAGTGGGTATAAAATGGCCATTTAGAGAATAATCTATCTTTATGTGTCTGGGACTTGGATTTTAGGCCGTTTGGCATCAAGCCCACGTGTTGCGGACTACAATCATGATTTTCTTTTTCTTTTCTTTTTTTTGCATTTATAAAATATCTAATAACCCCAAATATGAAATTAAAAAAGAGAGAAAAACTTGCTACTATTTTTTTCTTGTCAAGCCACAAAGGGGATAGGCGGATATCTGGTTTGTCTTGTCGTGAAAGAAAGTTAAAACTTTCACTCTTACAAATTACCTCTACACTACCTCATAATTACAAAAATACTTTTCACGTTTAAATTGTGACGTATCTTTCAAAAAACAACAAAAAGGGGAAAAAAATCAAATAAAGTTAACTCTTGTATCATCGTGTGGTCGATTCCAACTTAGAATTTTGCAAGCCAGGTGGTTTGATTTTTAATTGACAAAATATATTTGGAATTTGGCTGTATTTCTATAAATGGACCTTTACTTTATTTGAAGGTCTTCAGAAATCACATAATAATTTGACAAATTCTTTCCAAACTTGGTTAGCAAAATCATAATTCATGTAAATATAAGCAACAAATGAAAAGAAAAAAAAAGAAAAAGAAGAAGAAAATTGCAACATCTATATCTAATAAATCTCTAACTTTATGATATAGATAAATCATCAAAAACCCCATCGCCATGTTAATGTCTGCCTCAAAATAAATAATTAACGACTTCAACTGTTTTTATTATAATTTTTCAACATATTTTTGTATCTCAATTGAATTAATTTTATCTTTGAATATGAATTTGAGCTCTAACTCTGTACTTATGACAAGATTTTCAAGTTAAATCACTGAAATTTATTACATAATTTTTACATAAAAATCTTTTATTTATCTGATTTGTAAAGACATTACGATAATAAAAAATAGTTACGGACAAATCGGGTAACTAGTTCTAATGATTTGGTTTGAAAATCTTGCAAAAACAATAGATTAAAAACTTAACCGATGTACGAGAATAAAATTAGATTAATTAAAAATACAAGAATTATAAAATAATTATCTTATTATATAATGACATATTGAACAATTAATTCTAGAATAAATGATTGATAGTAATTATTTTTTATTAAAACGTGCAATTGTCAATTTCTAAAGAAGATATTAGAGTATAAATACTCAAACATGTTGTTACATTATATAAAATCATTACCTGCCAGGGGTTTTAGGAGGTTTTAATTTCGATTTTTTTTTAACTTTATATCTTGGTACATTTGGAATAGACACAAAAAGGCTAGGACATTATAAAAAAAAAAAAAACCTTCAGCAGCGTTACTAGTAATAAACGCCACGAGGGTGGTTTCAAATTTGAATATTTTGGCGAGAAAATCAGCGCATGGTCGAAAGAAACAATTTTACCTACTCAGTCTTATGATTTATTTATTTTTTATCAATTTGTAACCAACAAAGAAAAAAGTAACAAAGTCACGACAAATCTCCTTTACAACAGAAAAAACTGAAAAGGAAACAATAAAGAGTAAATTATAAATTAGTCCCTCTCTTTTCAAGAAACAAATTAATTAATCTTCTTATTTCAAAACCTAATTATTTAATCTTTTAATCAATTTGAATCACAATTAATTTAATATTTATTATTTTATAAAATGTATTCTCTTCTCAACAATCTTTCTATGATTTTTATATATTTTTTCTTTACTATTTCTTAAAATAAAAATAAAATAAATAAAAAATAACAAAAAACTAAATGATTTGAGTTTTGAAACTAATAAGACTAATTAATTTATTTTTTAAAACGAGAGGGACTAATTTATAATTTACTCAAACAATAAAACCGATCGTTTTGAAAAATCAAATCCGCCACCAAAAAAAACAAGAAGGGTGTATCTGTAAATAATATAAGAAAACTGTTCAAATTCACAAGAAGGTAATTAAGCCTTACCTCACTAATACTAATTAATTAAGCTTAATTACTCTATAACGACTCTCCTTTCCTACGGCAAGTAATCTCTTACTTGAATTTCTGAAAGACAGAGCGAGGCAGAGGGGTGTCTTGTCCCCACACAGCTGACCAACAATGAAACAAAAAAGCTTAGAAAGAGAAACAGAAACTCTAGGGAGAGAGAGAATTACAAACTGTTTTAAAGCCTAGAGAGAGAAAGACAGAGAATAAAGAAGAAAAAAAAACTCGAACTGTTTAGAGAGAGAAAGATATTGTAAAGTGGGTTGGGTTAGTTTTGTTAGAGAGAGAAAGAGAGAGGGAGAGAGTGGGGTTTGAATTTTTTGAGAATTTGAAAGAGCTCAACCTGATCTTAGAGTTTGTGGCCTTTTTTTTTCTTTTTTTTTTTTTTTTTGTTTTTTCTCTTTTCTTCTTAGTTGGATGAGCTAAAGCCCAAGAGTTTCGTAATCAGGATCCTCTTCGGTGTTATCAAATGGTAATTCAAAGCAGAAGAAAAAAATGAAAACACAATTTCTAGGCTTTTGTTGTTTTTGTTTCAGTTAAATTTCATGGCTATGAACTTCATTTTTGTCTTTTTTAAGTTCAAGTTGTCTTTATTTGGTTTGTCATGCTTGCTTTGAGTTTTGAATTCTGGTTGAATTTAGGTTTAATATATGCTGGTTGAATTTTTTTGAAGAAGTGGCTATTCCTTATTTATTATTATTATTATTTGTTTTGAAATTGTACTGAATTTAATTTGTTATTTCAAAGTTACCTTGAATTTGTTTCATAGTAATTTAGGTGGCCTTTTTTTTTTTTTTGGATAAAATAATGCAAATAATCGAGTTAGGAAAAAAAATGAAAACTAAGAAATGATAGTGGTTGGTAACTGGATGCTGGTTTGGATTGTTCTGGTTTTGAATTTTTTATACTTCAGGTAACAGGAAGTTTTTAATAGTCTTGAGTTTTGCACCAGGTTCTCTTCAATGGCAGTAATTTGAATGTCAGGTTACAGATTTTGCATTAGGAAGCTAAAATAGCGTTGCAAAAGATAATCCTGGCCAACGGATTCTTTTCAACCGACAGCCTGTTGGTTTAGGAATGCCGTGACATTTAATTTTTTTACTAGAAATTGAAAAATTGAGCATAACAATCTTTTATAGTTCTTGTTTCCTTTTAAAATGGAAATGCTTTTATTATCATCTGATTGGTTTGATATCGAGTGGGGCTTCTGGTTCAATGATTATCCATATCTAGAGACTTTCCTGAAAGTTTGCCTTTTATGACTGTCATTTTCCAATGCATAAGAACAGGGTTTAACTAGTTCTTACTTGCTTTTGATCATACAATTATGTTTAGGTGCTTTCGTTTTGTGCTGTGCTGGAGTCTTTTATTTTCCCTTTCTCTTTTTCTTGGTGTTACTTGAACAGTTAAACATTTGCAGGCAGCACCGGACAATATAATTGTTGGTTCTCATGTTTGGGTCGAAGATCCTGTTTTGGCTTGGATCGATGGTGAAATTACTCGCATAAATGGCAATGAGGTTTATGTTAATACCGCAAATGGAAAAAAGGTAACCCCTTGCTTCTTTTTAAGTTTTAGTTATTTACTTTTTTTGATGTGCATTGTCTAATTCCACCAGTCCTTCCCTTCCATATGCATTAGGTTATTATTTGGAAATTAGTGATGTGATGGAAGTCTGATAAAGACAGTCATTTGGAAATCAAAAACTTAATTATTAGTGTGTATCCCACGTGTTCAAAGGGGAGAGTTTTGTATTGTTTAGGATAGGAAGTAATGTTGAAGTTTTTTCCCTTCATGAGAATGCTTGTGTCGAAGAAGCAAATAATCAATATTTAAACCATGGAAGTAGAAGATAAATATGGAAGCTTAGGCTAACTGAGTAAATATAATAATCTGAAGCAGATTGAGCAACTCCACTCCAGGTTCTCTCGATCAAGGTCTCTTAAGTTTCATTGCCATCAACATTCTTCTGGGGATTAAGAAGCTGCTTTGGTGATTGGAGTCTCGTGAATTGAGGAATTCTGGAACATCTATAGGCCAACCTGCCGGGAACGTTTATATTTGCTCTCGAGTTTCAGTATTTACATTACAATACACCCTCCCTCCCCACCCCCCCCCCCCCCCCCAAGAAGAAGAAATCAGAGATAACATCTCTGACTATTGATGTTGAAAAATGATTAGGTGCTTGTTTGGGAACAGGTTGTGGACCTGTCTACCAAACTTATCTTTACCAAATGGGCCTTTTATAGGCTGCATTGCATCCTCGGACTAGATCCCAAACAAGGCTTGAGGTTTTCATTTACAATCATTTTCAGCTTCTAAGTTGGTCAATATAGCAATTGATCTAACCCTTAAAAGTTGGAAAATCTCTTTTCTTTTCCTTCTTCATCTAATGTGATACTTCTAGTTGATTTACTGTGGCAGCCGATAAATCATACATTTCCAAACATGTGTTACTTCCAACAAAAGTAAAAAACAAGGTTCAGATTTTTCAAGCTTTGGGAAAGCTTTAAGTTGAGGTTCTGTGTTTCCTCTTAAGGTTGGGAAAGCTTTACTTGGTTTTTAATGAACTATGGATGGGCTATGTTTGAATCAATGTCTGCATCTTTGAGCATTGAACTTGAGGAAGATTTTATTGTCAAGGGGCCTATTGCACTCCAGTAATTTACTCATATCATTGTAGGGTGATACATTACCATCGTTAGTCTTTAGCTTGCCATGAAATAATCATATCTAAAACTCATTTGACAATATGACCTTTGTTATTAATTTTTCTCAATCTGATAGGTTATTGCTTCCTGCAAAGATAATTCATCATTGGGTATGGCTTCATGCCTTACCATTGTCTTATTTGAGATTGTGAATCATAAAGCTATTGATGTTCTTCAGCAGATCCCTGAATCCCTCCTTTCTCATTATTGCATGTCACATTTCTTATCAAAATACTGCTTCTGTAACCATTCAGTAAGAATCTTCTTCATTACCAGGAGCTTCTCTAGGTAAGATAGAAGTTTTAGATCATAACTAGTTAGAAAGCATAGGTTAGAGTTTAGATGTCCCAAATAGTCTTTTTTTCAATATAATTGATGAAATGATGTCCTAAGTTCAGGGAACTGAATGCCGAAGGGAATACTTTGTTAGGATGCTAAAGTTTCAGGCCAGAACAAGCAGTCCTCGTATCTAAAAGAAATGGAGAAACTTGCAGTCTGTCTGTTGCTTTACTCTTGGTATTCTTGTGCATGAAGGAACAGCCTCGTGGTTCTGATTAGCTGGGTGGCTTTCTGCAGGTTGCCTCAAACATATCAAAAGTGTTTCCAAAGGATACAGAGGCCCCTCCTGGAGGGGTGGATGACATGACGAAGCTTTCATATCTACATGAACCTGGAGTTCTGCAAAATCTAGCTACTAGATATGAACTTAATGAAATCTATGTAAGTCATATTACTCTTTTTTCCCACTTTAATAACATTCTGGTGCTGAACAAGTGCCAAAATTGGATGAAAACGAAATATTCCCTTGATGATACTGTTTTTACTTTACCTTTCAGACATACACGGGCAATATCCTGATAGCAGTTAATCCGTTTCAAAGATTGCCTCATCTGTATGACACGCATATGATGGAACAGTATAAAGGAGCAACATTTGGGGAGCTAAGTCCTCATGTCTTTGCTGTTGGTGATGCTGCATACAGGTGACTGGAGATTTATCTCTTGCATTCGACCTTTTTTAAAACATTATTTTGTTATTTCTTACTGATATGTTATGGAATAAGAAAATAGGGCTATGATTAATGAGGGAAAAAGCAATTCAATTCTGGTTAGTGGGGAGAGTGGTGCTGGTAAAACTGAGACGACTAAGATGCTTATGAGATATCTTGCCTACTTGGGAGGACGATCTGGAGTAGAAGGAAGAACAGTTGAACAACAAGTTCTGGAGGTAAGATGAATGTATCTTTGCATGTGGAATTTATCACTCCTTGCCTTCCACATGCATGAAAGGTATTCTGATTGCCATGTGTCAGGTTTCCCATTGCATTTATAAAAGTCAAATGATTAATTATAGCATATTTTAGTTTATGCTATCAAGAGTGTAATTCTTGTATGTTGATGTTTTTTATTGCTGCTGAATGTTACAGTCCAACCCTGTTCTTGAAGCATTTGGTAATGCAAAAACAGTTAGGAACAACAACTCAAGGTGCGTACTGCTTAATGGTTTTTGCATGTACTTACAGCATTGTTGTTTGCTTCTGGATGCCTTTAATAGCATGTTAGAAATATGTTTTTAGCACAACGCTTTCTTAATGTTCATTGTGGTGTGTCAATGTAGTCGTTTTGGTAAATTTGTGGAAATCCAATTCGACAAGAATGGGAGAATATCTGGGGCTGCTATCAGAACTTATCTACTTGAAAGATCTCGTGTTTGTCAAATTTCTGATCCAGAAAGAAACTACCATTGCTTTTACCTTCTTTGTGCTGCACCACCTGAAGTAATTTGCACTCATCTTTCCTTCTCTTTATGTTACTTCATGGGCGGTATACTGGTTGTTTATGTATGCAAATGTTGATTCAATAAGCTTTTATTATTTATTTATTTTTGCAGGATATTGAGAAATACAAATTGGGAAGCCCTAAATCTTTCCATTATTTAAATCAATCAAATTGTTATGAGTTGGATGGTATAAATGATGCTCATGAGTATCTTGCAACGCGAAGGGCTATGGATATAGTTGGAATTAGTGACCAAGAACAGGTTCTCTTTCTGTTGTTCCAAGAGTTTGGTTTTATTATTATGTGATGGTCCAAATAATTTCTAATGATATGCAATTATTTTCAGGAGGGAATTTTTAGGGTTGTGGCTGCAATTCTTCATCTTGGAAATGTTAGTTTTGCCAAGGGACAGGAGATAGATTCCTCAGTTATCAAGGATGAAAAGTCTAGATTTCATCTTAATATTGCTGCAGAACTTCTCAGGTATATATTCTGCACTTTTCCATGTTTGAACAATTGCCTCTATCTTGATCTGTTGGTCATTTATTGTATCTCAAACTAATCTAGATAATGTGTAGGTGTGATGTCAAGAGCTTGGAAAATGCCCTGATTAAACGTGTAATGGTTACACCAGAAGAAATTATCACAAGGACTCTTGACCCTGAAAATGCTGTTGCTAGCAGGGATGCTTTGGCAAAGACGATATATTCTCGCTTGTTTGACTGGTAAAACCTCAGCAAACCATTTTTTCTCACCCATCACTCCCACATAGTTGGATGTTCAGTGTTTTTTGATCAAGTTAGACAAGAATTTGCTAATGTCTTTTACATTTATCGTGTACAGGCTTGTGGATAAAATTAATGTTTCAATTGGACAGGATTCAAACTCAAAATCAACAATTGGAGTTCTTGATATCTATGGTTTTGAAAGCTTTAAGTGCAATAGGTAAGTCATTAACTTGACATGCTTATTATATCATTTGAGCAAGTTCTTTTCTACCCTACAAGCTGTTCGAGATTATTATCCAGTTGCTTGGATGAAATTGGCTTTAAACAATGTCCTTTAGTGATGCATGAAACACGTCTCTACTTTTCAATGGAAACTGTAGAAACTTTTCTTTTTGTAATTCTTTTGTTGTTCATTTCCTTTAAATGTGTATCCGAACTCTAGGAACGAAATCATCACCAACGTTTCTATAGTGTTTGGGATCAATAGTGCTTTATGAAAAACAAAAAACATTCCATGTCTAGAATTTTTCTTTACGAGGAGTTTGGATAGCCTTGGATGATACTTACCATCAGAGCTTAGATATCACAGATGCCCATTCCTTAACAACTCTGCCATGCCTCTCCTTTCTTCAAGCTGAAAGAAAAAGGAAATAAATTAATTGCACTAGCAACATGACTTCCTGGTTCTCTGATTATGTATGTTCTCCTAAAACAGTTTTGAGCAGTTCTGCATCAATTTCACAAATGAAAAACTACAGCAACATTTCAATCAGGTCAGTTTTCTTAATCAACGAGTTTGACTTGCTCCTTTGATGATAGATTAAGACTGATTTGTTATTTTCCAATTGTATGTTTGTAGCATGTGTTTAAAATGGAGCAGGAAGAGTACACCAAAGAGGAGATAAACTGGAGCTACATTGAGTTTATTGATAACCAGGATATGTTGGACCTAATTGAGAAGGTTTTTAGCTTCTTAATCGTATAATTTTTCAATTCTAGGATTTGTGTTTCATTATCTTTCCCCGCTTTGGGAGTAATTATACAGTGATGGTGTGAAAATGCACCTATTTAATTTATTGCTATTGTGACTTGTAATTCAAATAATAAATAAGTCATTTTGCTCTCTTACAGAAACCTGGAGGAATAATTGCGCTTTTAGATGAAGCCTGGTATTCTGCTTTCCTTAATTGTTGATTCCTTTTTTGTTTATCACTTAAAAATGTGTTCATTCTGTTCTTCTTCAGGGGCCATCTTGAGGTCATTATTCATGTTTGTCTAATTGTTTATGCAGCATGTTTCCCAAGTCTACACATGAAACATTTGCGCAAAAGTTGTATCAGACATTCAAAAATCATAAACGCTTTAGCAAACCAAAACTTTCACGCACTGATTTCACGATAGTGCACTATGCAGGGGAGGTAAACTAATTATATTTGTCTTATAAGTACTTTCAATCTTCTTTTATTGACAGAGGGAGAGGGTCTAGGAATTCTCATAAGCTGTTAAATTTTCCTTGGTTTGAAGGTAAATTATCAATCCAATCATTTTTTGGACAAAAACAAAGATTATGTGGTGGCTGAACATCAAGCTCTGTTGAATGCCTCAAATTGCCCCTTTGTAGCTGGCCTATTCCCACCATTGCCAGAAGAATCATCAAAGTCATCAAAGTTCTCTTCCATTGGTTCACGCTTTAAGGTAATTGTTTCTTTTTGACTTCTCTTCTTTAATCAGTGGTGGTTCCTCAATGTGCATTGTATTTGGTAGGCTTTCAATTATCAGCCTCCATGTTACTGGTCCTATTGTCCATGGCTGATTTGTCAATGGTTGTCATGTACTTATTTTGGATTATTGTGAAAAGATGCTCAGTAAGAAACAATACATTATGTCTATATATGATGCTCATGCCATGCCTTTTCATATTCTCATTTTTATTATCCTGACAGTATTTAGATTACCCTCTCCATCTTGTGACATTTGTTGCATTGTTTTTTTAATTGGTCAATTTTTGGACTTCAACTAATGGTGTGGCCTCCCTTCCATTTCAATAAGTTGGAAGTTTGAATTCAGACATGCATGTCAAGGGCAATTTTTCCAATATGTGTTTGATTTGGATTGGTGCTAGTGGCACCACATCTTCACTTTCTCACATATTACTCTGAGTGCTTAAGATTCCAACATATGCTGATATTTGAAACCAACAAAGATTTGGGGAACTTCCAATAAGGCTACCCTTGCCACATTTCAGTGAATTTTGGTGTTGAAATTTTAAATTCGCTTCACTTGGGAATAGCATCATGAACTGCAAAGTGTTACCAGTCACATTTTAGGTAGCATCTCGATGATTCTTTTAATAGCCTGTTTCATGTTGCACTCTATGATTATCTTGTGGTTGCTATGTACACGTGATGTTTATGGTCTGGTTTTCCCTAAAGAAACCCAAATCTCTGGCTTTGAGCTTACAGTTTTTGCCGTTATAGTAGTAAAAGACAACATAGCAAATTTATTGATTGTCAAATTCTTGCATATTTTTTTCTAAAGACTTATTCTTTCATATCATAGTGTCACAAATAATTTTTTTTAAAAAAATCTCAGCTACAACTTCAATCTTTGATGGAGACCTTGAGTGCAACTGAACCTCACTACATTCGATGTGTGAAGCCAAATAATGTCCTGAAGCCTGCTATTTTTGAGAATTTCAACATCATCCAACAATTACGATGTGGTGTGAGTATAATATGCTTCAAAGCAGTTCCCTAGAAGTTTACATCTTTAAGCTAAAATTCAGACTCCCCTTCCAATAAACTGATTATGTTAGCTTCTTATGATTAGGGTGTTCTTGAGGCAATTAGAATTAGCTGCGCGGGATATCCAACCAGGCGAACCTTTTATGAGTTTCTTAATCGTTTTGGATTACTTGCTCCTGAAGTTTTGGATGGAAAGTAAGTATCATTTCATAATTTCTTTAGGCTATGTGTTATGATGGAGATTAACGATTGTGCACCACCAATTATTATTATTTTTTTGCCTGAATCATATCAAATAGATATGTTATTATTATTTTTTAATATTGCAGCTATGACGATATGGTTGCATGCCAAATGATTCTTGATAAAAAGGGACTGAAAGGATACCAGGTGACAAGGCCTTTGTTTTATTTTTTATTTTCTGTTTTACTTAATATTTTTTTCAGATCACTTATGTTTTTTTTATTTGATTATGATCCCCTGTTATTTTGTTGCTTGCACTATTATCAATGCGATTGTGGGAGAGTTAGTTGGGAAAATGTATCCTCGAGTCCTCCCTTCCCTTTTTTCTTTATTATGAACTAGTGCGCATTTGAAATTGCATAGTTAACGTACCAGATGTTCTTCGAATTAGAGGAACAAACTAGAATAAATTAATTAAAAGCTCATGTAATTTGTTGGTTCACAACCTATACTTTTAGAATTTTCTTTCATGTGGTTGTTGAACTAATAAAGAGTTTCAATCGTTCATAATGATGGTTTGATTATTTTCTTTCATGAAATATCTATGTGATTGTTGAATATTGATCTACATAATTATCCTGAACACAACTATACTCTCTCTAGTTGTGTGCTTAGAAAAAGAGTTTAAAAAAAATTACTATGTAGTCTATTTTTTCAACTTGTTGTCCTTCATTGATTCATAGCAAGAGGACTTCAAAATTTAAAACTACTTAGGGAGATTTTCTTATGCATCTCTGCTGAGGGACATTTTATAAAATTCCTAAAGGCCCTTAATATAATGCATATGAAAATTACTTTTTTCTTTGTCCATATACATTACAGCAATTTTCTTGATTCACCCGTGGCAGATAGGCAAGTCAAAGGTCTTCTTGAGAGCAGGTCAGATGGCTGAGTTGGATGCTAGGAGAGCAGAAGTGCTTGGCAATGCAGCCAGAACCATTCAAAGGCAAATTCGCACTTACATTGCTCGCAAGGAGTTCATTTCATTGCGTAAAGCTTCTATCTATTTGCAATCTTATTTAAGAGGTAATTTCTTGGACTCTCTTAAATTGCCTTAATGAGTTTGTTGTTCCATATTTGGTATATCAACAATAAAATGCAGTATATAGTATTTATGACTCATTAAGTTTATGTATATTATCTTAACTAAAAAGGAGATGTCCAGAAGAATGCTAGAACTCAGGTTCCCTTTGTCTCACTCCCTATCAATGTTAAAAGAATGGCACTTTCTTTACAAAATTCTGCCTATTTGTTCACATCAGAATCTTGAGTGGTAGATTTCCCTATAATTGTTATGCTTCCTCTTTTCCAGGTAATGTAGCCCGACAACTGTATGAGCAATTGAGGCGAGAAGCTGCAGCTTTGAAGATCGAGAAGAATTTCCGTCTCTTCATTGCCAGGAAATCCTATTTAAGAGTGAAGTCATCCGCAATTACATTACAGACAGGCTTAAGGGCGATGACTGCACGAAAAGAATTTAGGTTCCGGAAGCAAACTAAAGCTGCCACCATCATTCAGGTATTTTTGGTGTTATGGAACATAATTTCCTCTTCCCAGTTTTGTTAGTTATAATATTTGAATTTTATCATTTCTTTTCTCTTTTTTGCTGCTCTAGTGAAGACTAAGTCTTCAATTTTGAAAAATTGTTGTGGAGATTCTCATCCACTGGTTGCTTACAGGCTCAGTGGCGTTGCTACCAAGCTCATTCTTATTATAGACGTCTTCAGAAGGCAATAATAGTTTCTCAGTGTGGCTGGAGATGCAGAGTTGCAAGAAGAGAGCTCAGAATGCTCAAAATGGTCGGCTTTTAACACAGGACATTGTCCTGTTAATTTCTGTATGCAATATGCAAATTTGTATAAGACCACATGCTAACTTTTTGCTTTTTAAATTTATATAGGCTGCTAGAGAGACAGGGGCTCTTAAAGAAGCAAAGGATAAGCTGGAAAAGCGTGTAGAAGAACTTACATGGCGTTTGCAATTGGAAAAGCGATTAAGGGTAATGGCATTGTATTCTAGTCTCAACTCATATTGTGCTCACTTTAGTGTGATGCCTTAAGTGCTATAGCTGATTTTTGGTCTGAACACAGACTGATCTTGAGGAGGCAAAAGCCCAGGAAGTTGCCAAGTTGCAGGATGCATTGCATGGCATGCAAGTACAGGTAGAAGAAGTGAAGTCTATGGCTGTTAAAGAACGAGAGGCAGCTCGAAAAGCCATTGAAGAAGCACCCCCAGTCATTAAGGAAACCCCCGTCATGGTTCAAGACACAGAAAAAGTCAATTCATTGTCAGCTGAGGTTGAAAAGTTGAGGGTACGTATGCTATGTTTTAGCATTGCTTTCAGATTTTTTTGGAATCTGTGTTGTGCATTATTGTTTCCTTGCACCAATGGGCACCATTATCTGTAAAAATATTGCATTTCCTGTTTTTGATTGATGTTGAATTTTAGTCTTCATATGGTGAAATTGTGGAAGTTTGCCAGGTAAAAATGTTTCTGTATATGATTTGGAAGGAATAGACCATACTTGCAGAGCTATGTGATGATTTCCAACTACAAATCTGAACTTCCAACTCCACTGCTGTTCTTATGAAAAATGATAACTGCATATGTGTACATGTTTGATTTAAGTGTAAATGGATTTGGTTTATGATCAGGCCGGAAGGATCCGTATAGTCAACTGCAACTAGTTTGGAATGAGGTTTTGTTATTTCTGTTTGACTTCAAGTGTTGAAATAAGTGCAAAGAAAAATACTTGATTTGGGTGTAAACTCTTGCATTGAGGCATCAGATAACAATCTTTTGAGAAAATTTAATCTTTAGTTTTTTATGTACTTAGTTGGGGTTATACCTGGCAATGTGAAACAAGCACACTTGTTGAAGATGCAGACTACATCTGATGAATAATTTTGCTTTCACAGGCGCAGTTGCTCTCAAAAACTCAAATCACTGACGAGGCAAAACAAGCTTATGCTGTTGCTCAGGCCACAAATGAGCAACTAACCAAGAAGCTTGAAGATGCTGAGAAGAAAGCGGATCAACTCCAAGATTCAGTTCAGAGGTTTGTAACAAATCTGCCCATTGAAGCGTTTAGTGTATTGAGAAAGAGAGAGAAAAAAGGGGTGGGAGTGTGTCAGTGGGAAGGGTGTTATCAAACATACAAACAGGGTTTTGATGATGTAAATTGTTGTAACTATTTGCAATTCTGTTGTCTTCTTGCAGATTAGAAGACAAGGTGTCTAATTTAGAATCAGAGAATCAAGTACTTCGTCAACAAGCCCTCGCTATATCACCAACTGCCAGAGCTTTAACAGCGAGACCTAAGACAACAATCATTCAAGTAAAGAATGCATGCCCTGCCTTTCATTTGGGTAGACTTGCATTTTGATGGAAGTGTTTACTTATTGTTTTCTCCTGAATGCAGAGGAGCCCAGAGAATGGAAATGTTCAAAATGGAGAAGCAAAGAAAGCACCAGTAAGAGTATATGTTGTTGCATCTGATTCATGCTAGGTTATGTAGAAAAAAATCACGATTCTAAACCATTTTCTGAATGTCTCAGGATTCAATACCTGCTCTACCTAACTCTCGAGAAGCTGAAAATGAGGATAGGCCCCAGAAATCTCTTAATGAGAAGCAGCAGGTAAGTAGTCTGTTATGGAGAAGAGTCCTTTGTATCAGGGAATTTCTGTAATTTTGCACTAAAGCCTTGTTAGGAATTAGGTTATTAGTCAATGCTAATGTTTTTTGGGACATTTAGCTATTAGAAGTTTTTGGCCTTTTGGATTTATAAGTTCTCTTGCTTTTCTTTATAGGTTTGGATTATCCTTTCTATTAAAATTTCTGAGTTTGTGAGTACTGTGTTGTGGTATCTAGTTAGATAGATGGCCTTGGAATATGCTCTTTTTTTTTTTTCCTTTTTATTGCAACTTTGCATTTTATTGGTGGTGAAAACTCCATTAAAATTGCTGTTCTTCACAAGACTTGCAAAAAGCGTTACTGAGTTTCAATTCAATACTGTTCTGCCCCCAAATCAGCCCCTATTCCAGCTCTGGTATTAGCCCACTCCCATTGACAGTAGTACACCCCTTAATTTTCAAATTCCTTGGCTGTCCTACATTATTCCGTTTTGGAAATCATGGGGACATAATTGTGATGGCATAAAGTTATGCATGCTATTTTTTTTTTTTTTGGCTCCCAGACATGTTTTCATGCTCATGCTATGTCATTGCCTGTCATCTCATCTGGTGCAGGAGAACCAAGACCTCCTAATTAAATGCGTTTCACAAGATCTAGGATTCAGTGAGGGCAGACCTGTTGCTGCTTGTATGATATACAGATGCCTTATCCAGTGGAGGTCATTCGAAGTTGAAAGAACAAGTATTTTTGACCGTATCATTCAAACAATAGGTTCAGCGATTGAGGTGATCTATTCTATATTCTCATCCATGGCATTACTATTTTTATGTCCCATGCGTTGCTGCTGATAGTGGTATAAAATCTATGTCGATATTTTGATTAATTATGAAAATTTATAATAAAAAAATAAGGAAAAAGCAACAACTAACACATATATTGATATGGAGTCATTTGTTTGATAAATTTAATGAGCAACTAAAAACTTAAATAACTATCGCATTAGATGATATTGTAAAATTCAATCATATCAAATTCAATCATAACTATCGCATTAGATGATATTGTAAGATTCAATCATATCAAAAGCAACAGTTCTTTTGTTTCTTTTCTTTTCATTTTTTGCATTGTTAAATGCATTCATCGGGCACTAAAAAACATTTGAAATTACACATTTGAAATCTAAAATTTTTATGTAGAGTTAAGGCATGTATGTTGCTGAAATCTCAATTTATATAATTATATAATTTGTTTCATATTTGCTGAGTATAATTATATTTTATAAAACATGTCACACCGTAAAAAATCACCAATAACTAAATGTTTATTATTGTTTAAGAAAAATCTTCAATTCACATGTAAATTTAATATTTCTTTTTTGAAAATTTAGTAAAGCAAATAGAACTTAACTATGTTTTTAGTATTTTATAATCATCACTATATTAATAATTATAAAATAAAATTTTAACTTAATTTCATCGATGTTTATAAGTTAAAAGACTTATATGCCTTATGATTAATTTTTTTATTTTTTTATAAAGAAAAATAATAATTTGAGAACTTAAATAGGAAAAAAAAAAAAAAGAGTGAGGCGGGCCTAGCACTTGCACTGGCCCTAGGACTACAAGCATGTGTGCACTTGGGCCTGGCATTGCAGGCTAGCTTGTAACGAAAAAAAAAAAAAAAAGGTGCAGGTGAACGACTTGTTGTCTGCTTGACACGTCCTTCAATTCATCTTCTTCCCCAATTTTATGGTGGCACAAAATCTTGAAATTGTTTGCTAGAATCTTGAATTGTATACAAATGAAGTTCAAGAACTATTGCATACAACTCTCAAACTCTAAGGACTAAAGTGAAAAAAGTTTCAAAAAAGCTCTAATTTTTTATTTTTTTTGGGGGAAATGTCATCTTTCATGCCAAAAAGGCTTAAAATGACGCTGTTTTGATGCCACAAAATGCATAGGAACTTAGCTGCAAGAAAACCCCATTTTGTTTAGGTTCTTTATAATATAATATCCATATATATGAGATATCTTCCAAAGTTTGAAAAGAAATCAACATCACTTCTTTGCAAAGTCTATTCCCCAGTTTGTTTTTAATCACTCCCTGGAATTATGAATAAATGATCAAGAAAATCAGTTTCGTTTTTATATTGCTCACATATACCTTGTATTGTTTGCTTAGGTCCAAGAAAACAATGATATATTGTCTTATTGGTTATCAAATTCATCCACACTATTGTTGCTACTACAACGCACCCTAAAAGCAAGTGGAGCAGCAAGCTTAACTCCACAACGGAGAAGATCAACATCAACTTCATTGTTTGGAAGGATGTCCCAAGTGAGAACAGCTCTCCTCTCTAGCTTTATCTTTATTTTTTTTTCTTGGATACTCTTCATGTGTCTTGCCTTGCAGTTCATAATGGTTTTTTTTTTTTTTTTTTTTTTTTTTTTTTTAACCTTGATAAAATATTAGGGGCTGCGTGGTTCACCACAAAGTGCTGGGTTCTCATTCCTTAATGGTCGGATGCTTAGTGGACTGGATGAATTGCGACAAGTCGAGGCTAAATATCCCGCTTTGCTTTTCAAACAGCAATTAACAGCTTTTCTTGAAAAGATATATGGCATGATTAGAGATAACTTAAAAAAAGAGATTTCCCCTTTGCTTGGCTTGTGCATCCAGGTAATAACTGCATGTTATTTTCTTAAAATTGTTTGTACTTGTAAGTTGTTGTGATTGCATAACATTCGTTATTGCCTTCCCTGGTTTTGTAATCCTGATTTGTTCTGGTATCCAGCATATTTCTTCTCCCTGATCATGTTTGAAACATTCAATGCAGGCTCCCCGGACGTCGCGAGCGAGTTTAGTCAAGGGGCGCTCTCAGGCCAATGTTGTAGCTCAACAAGCTCTCATTGCTCACTGGCAAAGCATAGTAAAAACTCTAAATAATTGCCTAAAGAATATGAGAGCCAACTATGTGAGTGGGAAGTTAGTCTAATGAAAATAAACAACAGTTCTATTTCCTGTTTAAATTGCATTTTGATATTTAGTTTTGTCTATACTGGTTCCCCCATTGCATTTTCATATTTAGTTTTGTCTGTACAGGTTCCCTCCTTCTTAGTCAAGAAGGTGTTCACTCAGATATTTTCATTTATCAATGTTCAATTATTTAACAGGTAATTGCACTCAACTCAAATTTGTTATATACCTCATTTACTTTGACGACATGATATTACTAAGTCATATTTCAATTATGCAGTCTTCTTTTGCGGCGTGAATGCTGCTCATTTAGCAATGGGGAATATGTAAAGGCAGGGTTAGCTGAGTTGGAACAGTGGTGCCACAATGCAACAGAGGAGGTAACACGTCTTAATATTTGGTAATCTTTCATTCTTCATCTCTTTTGGAAGACTAAGTATAGCATCTCCTCTCCATTCAGTTTGCAGGCTCAGCATGGGATGAATTGAAGCACATCAGACAAGCCGTTGGCTTCTTGGTTTGTTTATACATCCTCTCTCTCTCTCTCTCTGTATCAGAGTCAACAATTTTACTTATTATTTCTTCTCCTTCCGTTCGTTCATTTTTTTTTCCCATTCAGGTTATACATCAGAAGCCCAAAAAGACTTTAAAAGAAATAACTAATGATCTTTGCCCAGTGAGTAACCATACCCCTTCGCAACTCCTCTGCGGCGCCCCCCCCCCCCCCCACACACACACACACACACACACACACACACAAAACTCCAGCTATCAGTCTCAATTTTTTGGTGCTCCTCCTTTCAGGTGCTTAGCATACAGCAATTATACAGGATCAGTACTATGTACTGGGATGACAAGTATGGCACCCACAGTGTATCTTCAGATGTAAGTCAAATTCTTCTCACTTTTGAGCCTCGCATTCATTTCCATTTCGAGACTTTTTGCAAATGCTAACTGATGGAAAAAGCAAACATGAATGGTTCTATGTGCAAGCTTTACACACACTCTTGTGATTTTAACCCCCTTTCCCCCTTTTATCTCTCCCTTCCAAATTCCCAAAGCCAGTGTTAATATAAAATATGCTCTGGCCCTTTCATTTTGCCTAACGCATTGTAATGGTTCGGTTCCCTTCTGAGCCCCCCATCCTTTTCGGCCATCTTGGTTTTTCATTAAAATGTCATTAACCTTAACCATCCAACTTAAAACCAACTTTAATCCCTTTCCTTTGCTTTTACCATGATCAGTCTTTATTAACCATGCTCCTCTGTTTCTTTCACCTAAAAAACTAAATACACAAAATACACAAACAATCACTGATTAAGGTTTCTCCCATATTTAGGTAATTTCAAGCATGAGAGTTATGATGACTGACGACTCAAACAATGCTGTGAGCAGTTCTTTCTTATTGGATGATGACTCGAGGTAACAAGTTTTGGTAACCATATGCTTTTGGCTTCAATTTTGATACACACGTTTTCCCGTGGCTAAACAAAATTGATCAATCTCTTGTGCAGCATTCCATTCACAGTGGATGACATTTCGAAGTCCATGCAACAAGTTGAAGTTGTTGATATTGATCCTCCACCTCTAATCCGTGAAAACTCAAGTTTTTCATTCTTGTTACAACGTGCAGAATGAGGTTCCATGATTCTATTTTCTTGCTAGCTCAGTTTCGACATCCTGTCACTTCTTTTCACAACCCCAAGCGTCCACCCCAGAACCTGTGAATATTTATCCTTTCCCCAGCCTCATTGTAAATTATAGACAGCCATTTCCATGCAGCTTTGGGTTCTTTTATTGCTGATAGTGTGGGTAGTTTGCATCCGGGGTCAATTTACTAGTTACTCCCTATTGGGAATTATAGTGTATTGTTGTTCCATGGCCAATTTCAATTACCATATTATCTTATTCTTTAGGCCAGTATGGTAAATTTGTTGACAGTACTAGCGGGCTAGGTTTTTTTTGGGCCCAAACTAGTTGTATCCCAATATTAAGTTTGTAATATAATGAATGATATTCTATTCAATTAATTTGAAGATTATTAGCATTTGGTTAAGTTCCATTTTGTTCGAAAGGTAATGGGGCACGTTGATATGATTTGAATACTTACTGTTTGCCCTAAATGTTTTAACTAGAAACTGGTATGCATGTAAAACATGTTTAAGTTTCATAAACAACTCTATTTAATCCAAGCATGTTTTGATTTGCTGTAATGTAAATGGTCACATTCACGAAAGAATTGAATGGTTGTTGCTCGGTACCTCAGGGGTATAGGCCCATACAATCTCGTGCACATGTTTTAAGGTATTTAGTGCTGATTTTTTTTAGCCGAGGTTCGGATCAAGTTTGGAATGATCATCCTCCTCGTGAGAGATAATCTTCAGGCCACTGTATGTAAGGGGTAAGTTTTTGTAGAAGAAGCTAGTCTTTCTTTCCTCTGAACTTGTGTACCCCAGGGGGGATAGAGTTAGTTTGAGTGACTAAACTTATTTAATTCTTACAACTGAGAAAGATAATTATACTGTAAGTACATCAACTTTCAATCTCTTTTTAATGAGTATATGAATTTTAACTTTTTTATTTGAGTATATTAATTTTTTCAAAATTGGTAATCAAATATTTTCATCAATTTTTCTATTAAGTAATGACATGTTCATTACCCATAGAATGCTAAATTATAATTTTTTTTAATCGAATGCATAGACTTTAATTTTTCTATTTAAGTACATCAATTTTTTTAAAGCTGTCAATCTAATACTTTCATTAATTTCTTTGTTAACTAATACGTGCTCGAATATGAAATCATAATTTTACTCTTGTTTTGTTCGAAGGAACTTTTTCTTCAAATTATTTTATCATTTCAAATTTTGATAAGAAAATTAAAAATACTATTTTTTAGCTATAAAATCTCAAACTAAACTCGGTTAGATTGTTGTTTAAAAAAAAAAAAACTTAGTTGTTTTTGGAGTGAAAATTAAACAAATATACAAATTAATCTTTTTGATGAAAAATCTCATGTTTGTGTTTTCTTCAATTTTTACACTCAAAATCTAACCGAGGTTTTTTTTTGTTTTTACTTACCCCGGAAGCCTAATTGAGTTTAGTTTGGGATTTTATCACTAAAAAATATTTTTTTAATTCTTTATCAAATATCAAAATAGTTGAATAATTTGGAGAGAAAAGTCTTTGCAATTAAAAAAAAATGTAATTTGAAATTTGGACACATCATTAGTTAATAGAAAAACCGATGGAAGTATTTCAATGATAGTGTTAAAAAATTGGTATAATTAAACAGAAAAAAATAAAGTTCTGTACTCTATTAACATAAAATGGCAAAATTACTATTTGGTATTCCAAGAGTAATAGAAAATGGAAATGTTATCATTTAACAAAGAAAATGATGAAGTACTCGACTGGTAGTTTTAAAAAAATCGATGTACTCAAATAAAAAAAATTAAAATTCATATACTAGATTGTGAAAAAATTAAAAATTTGTGTTGTGATAATTTAGTTATCCCTACAATTGAGTGTCTGATTTTTTTAATTTTGTTCAAATAGATATTCTTATCTTTTTATTTTGGAAATAACGTATTTAAGTGGATGTATTTTTATCAAGTCGTGGTGGTTTTTTTTATGGGTCGAAAAAGATTGATATTTTTTTACTGTTTTTAATAGTTTAAATCTTCTATTAATGAGACCTAAAGCCGTGGCCGATTCTACTATTGATTTATGATTAGCACCTTGATTGTGTGCGTAATGTATATATAAAAAACAAAAAATCTCATCCTGTGCATTCTTAAGTATTTGGCAGCATCTATTGATAAACCAATTGTCACAATATTATTAATTTATTACTCACCATTATTGTAAAAATGTTTAATTAAAATTTTTTTAATGTACAATTTTTTTCTTTAAAAATATATTAATCAATAAACTAATTTTTTAACGGATCAAAGGTCCATGTTTTTATGCATTCTTAAGTTTTAATGTACAATTTTTAATATATTTATTTACTCACCATCATCTATAAAATTACCATAGCATTTGGGCTTCCCGAAATTCATAAAATACTACAAGTGGGCCTTTGATCCGTTATTATTATAGACTACTGACTTGTAGTAGTACAACTAGTTGTTTGCTTGTGCTACTGCTGCAACTCTAGTTAAAAAAAAAATCACTTTAAAATTTTAAAATTTTTTGTTATAATTTTTTATTTACTTAAAATTTTTAATGTTTTTTATAAATTTTCTGCTTAAAAAAAAATCATTATTCTTTATGGATTGATTTTAAAATAAACAAATATAATAATTTTAACTAAAATATTAATCAAGAATTAAAAAAATTTTAAAAATATGATTTTCATAATATTGTATTCTAAAAAATAAATTTAAAAAAAATGAAAAATTTTCTTATTTAATGCTAATGAAAAGATTAATTTTTAAAATTATCCGTGCAATACTACATGTAGTTAAAATAAAATCATTTAATTTTTTTAATTTTTCATTAATTTTTATTTAATTTTCACAATTTTTTTTTGTTTGTTTTTCATAATTTCTTTCCTTAAAAAATGATTTATTCTTCTTTATGTAAGGATTCTTAAATAAAAACTTATAATAATTTAAACCCGAAATATTAATTAAGAATTCAAAAGAAAATACTTCAAATTTTTTTTATAAGAATGCATTAAAAAAATAAAGTCACAATTAATGTATAGAATTGCAAAAAAATTAACTAATGAAAAAATAAAAATTTATTCTTATTTAAAGTTGGTGTGAATATTATTATTTTTTAATATATACATTAGATCTATATATGTTTATTTACAAAATAATCAACAAAATTAGCATAAAAAACTATATTTGAATAATTGGTTGGTTCCTTCAAAAAATTATTTTAATTATTTTATTACAAATAAATTTGTTATATAATGTTAAAAAAATATTCATAGAAAATAATTTGTATTATGTTGGAAGATGTATAGTTAATCTTTAATAAAATCAATGATTCAATAGTTTTTTTACATGCCCCGATCATACCTAGTGAACTGAGATAAATTATTTAAAATACACTTTTAAGTTTTTATAATAAAATAATTATATATTGATATATGCGCAACTATCATTTAAAAATTCTTAGAATTCATGATATATATTATACTAATTTACTTTTTTTTTAAATAATGTCTTAAAATTTTATTCTAAAATTCAAATATAGAGAACAATAAATTATACTTATCGGTAAATAAAATCTTATATAAAAAATATCAATTGGATGAGAATTTTCGTAAAAATGATAAATTCAAAGAATGGAGTTTAAATAATATGAGTAATATAAGTCGACGTGTATATTCATTTTGAAATCTTAAAAGATAGTGTGTGTATATATATACACACACACACATGCTTGTGTGAAAATGAAAGAAAAATAAAAACTAAGGATTAAAAAAAAATGTTACAACACGAGGGATGAAAAATGAAAAAAAGTGTTAAATTTGCATATTAGTGCTCAAAAACACACAAAAAAAAAACGATACACAAAAATTACTTAAATTTCTATCAAGTGAATAGTAATTTCATACATATGAAAAAATAGTGAATAAGAATTTTAGACATATGAATAATTCGGATTCTTGTGCTATGTTGCGGGCCAAATTAAGCATATTTATTTCAGTTTGATAACATATACTATGTTATCGATCAATTAAATTATATTAAATTAAATATAAAAGATAAAATTTCATCTAATTTTTATATATATTTTGAAGTAAAAAAAAACATGATTTGTTCTTTGTTATGCATTTATTCTTAAATAAAACCCATAATAAACAAATTGTAATATAAAATTTTAAAAAAACATCTTGATATTTTTTCATTATATTGCATCGAACAAATAAAGCAACAATTAATATAAAAATTTATATGAAAATTAACAAATGAAACTTTTTTACCAATGAGAAGATTATTTTTTAATATATATATATATATATATATATATTCTCAAAATAATGAATAGTATTAGTATACGAAATTGTTTTTCAATATTAATCAATTATTCTAAAATATTATTTTAATTATTTTATTTAGAAAAATCATTTTAAATATTAAAAAAATAAAAGCAAATAGTTGGTATTGTGTATGTAGATGCATGGTTGATTTCTAATAAAATCACCGACTCTAATTTTATTATTTTTGACACATCATGATCGTACTCAATAGATGAAAATATATAAAATAAATTAAAAAATATTTTTAAAAAATTAAATAGTAAAATATATATTAAAGTTAACGAGTGTAGTAAAAACTATAAAACCGATTTCGATAAAACTTGATTATGTAAAAAAATAAGAAAATAAAATACATATATTCAATTTTTAAATTTTGATCATATAAGAATCAAGTAAATTAAAAAAAGTTATTTTTAAAAACTTATTCAAATCCATACATAGAGAAAATGAGTCATATTTATTAATAAATAAAATTATAAAAAAATAAGAATAAAAATTAACTTAATGAGAATTTTTATAAAAAAATCAATTTTATACAATAAGAGTAGTTTATATTTATTCTAAAATCTAAAAACATATCGTATAAATATAAAAAGTATAGTATATATTATATAATCGTCGGTTTATGTGAAAAAAATAACAATTGATTTTTTAAAATTTTAATCTCTAATTAAATAAAAAAAGCAAAGGAAAAAAAGGTACGAGTAGCATTATATAATTGTTAGTTTATGTGAAAAAAACAACGATTGATTTTATTTTTAAAAAAATTTAAAACATAATTAAATAAAATAGAACATAAATTGAAGAAAAAGCAAAGGAAAAAAAAAGAAAGAAAAAGCTTGAGTAGTGCGTCGGATGGAGGATTAAAATTTTTATTTTAAAATTTTAGAAACGAAAATGAAATAACCCAAAAACTTAAAAAAAGAAAAAAATCTAAGAGATCAAAATAAATAACCTGCGATTTTTTTTATAAAATAAATAAAAAAGAACCAAAGAGATCAAAATGAAACAACCGAGAAAATAAAAATAAAAAATAAAAAAGGAACCTAACTTGATGGAAAAAAAAAGACATGTATTCACAACAAATTGAAACAAATGAACGAAAAAAAAGAAGGTGAACTTGAAGCAAAAGAAAGAAAGAAAGAAAAAAGTTAACAGTTAAAAAAAGAGGAAAAAATGCAAACAGTCACAAATGCTTATATTGGCAGCCAAACCCAGGTATAGGCTTAGAAGGCAAGCATCCCAACCGTTGGACTACAAACAGTTCGTTGTGCTTGAATTGCACAATATATATATATTAAAAAAAAGTGAAAATGGTTATGAACAGTCGAACTTCACGTCTTTTATATATATATATAAGAAGGTGAATAGGATTGTGAACAGTCGAATCCAATATCTTTTAGATATATAGTAACTAAAAAGGTTAACTTTGAAATTTTCTTGACTAAATTGATAGAAGTATAACATTGATGCATAGAGGCAAAATAAAGTTTATCATTTAAAAAAAAAAAAAATTGAAAAGAAGAAACCGGAAACGAAAGCCTGTTATAGCAGGTTCCCATGACTCGGTTATTAATTTTTATAACTAGCAATTGGGGCATCTTTTTTTTTTTTTTTTTATGTAGTTTTATTATAACATTAAATCATTTTTGTGATAAAATTTATCCAAAATTGGTTCTTAGGGAGAAATTGTTGAAGTTAATTATTTTACTAAGGTGATGACATTTCTCTTATCAATATATATATTTTTTCATTCACCAATGACATTTTATGCTGTTAATTTCAAATTAAAATTCAGAATTTATTTGTTCAATTCACATATTTCATTTGTTTACATTTTCATTGATAAAAAAAAGAAGTAGAGATTTATTTTTTTTCAAACAAACAAAATAGAAAAACATAACATAATTAAAATTTAAAAATTTTCTGCAATAAAAAATGTAAAATCTTTTTTTTTTTTTTTTGCAAAAAGTAAAATTCTCTTGGGAATTAATTTAAAATTGAGAAAAAAACCATAAAGCTATGTCCATTTATTCGTCTTATATAATTTAATTTTCTCTTTTTTTATTAGCATTAATCTAAGTTTAAAAAATAAATCACACCTAACTCTGTTTTTATGATATTTTGTTTTAATGTATAAAATAATGTCAAGCTTGTTGAATCATAAACAAATTTGAGATTATATTATTGAAAAAAATAAAAAATCATAATTTAATTTCTTCTTTCTTCCAATTTTACCTAATAAAAAAAAAATAATAATTGATTTCTAATACTTAACCAAAAATAATGGAATGAAAAACAGAAACGTGGACGACAGGTCATCCGTGACGACGGGATTGGCGAATTTGACGGACCGAATCTTAAACGACGGCGTTTTCGCCAATCAAGATGGCGCGTTCGGGAGGGTTTGCACTTTACACCGCCTAAGTTTCGTTGTTTTTTTTTAAAAGAAAAAGAAAAAGCACATATAAATAACAAAGTTAAACCCTAAAATAAACCCTACTCTTCTGGGAGAGAAGGAGAAAGGAAGAAAGAAACCCCAAAGCAAGGCAGCATCTCTTTGAATTAGAGACCTAACAAAAGAGAAGAAACTCAAACATTTTCTCAAGTCGGTTCTTTAATTCAATCTATACTTCCAATTTGTAAAATTTTGAAGTAAACGTTTACTTTTATTGATATCATTTACTTATTTGTTGTGTTTTCAGGTTTTAATTTCGACTACAAGCTCCAGGGATTGTATATCCTTTTTCGCTTCTTGTCGTTGTTGATTGTTTTCTTTTTGGCTAACATACAATTTTGGCTATATTTATAATACTGTAGATATATATATACACATATTTATATATAGAGAGAGAGAGAATTTTGAGTGAGTTTTTACAGATGGCAATGGATGGAAGTTTCAGTCTGGAATCGGCTTTGGAAAGATTCCTTGTGCGTTGCCCGGAGCTTTCCACTATTGACAAGCTCCGTCATCTTGTAGACATGGTACTTCATTCCGCTTAAGTTGTTTTTTGCTATTTAATAGCAAAATATAGAACAAAGAAATTATGTTTTGTTTTTTGGTTTTGCAGGGGCATGCTTTGATGGAAGAAGAAGTGGTGAATTCATTGGCAGAGCTGTTTCTGAACCCTAATTATACCATCCCTTTGATTGGTTGTTTTCGGCCACTAGCTCGAAGAATAGTTGACCAAGCCGTGGCTTTGCTTAGCCACTGCAATCTAACGTCCAATTCAGATGATATAGTAGGAGATTTTGTTGATGCTGATGTTGTTTATGTTATTGAGCACTATGAAAGTAGTGGGAGGGGTTTGGACCTTCACGAGCTTGCTTGCTTGGCCTTCTGTCGTGCCCTTGACTTGGATCATTATTTATTGAGGTAAACTTTTGTACATGCTATTTCCTGTCACGTTGTGCTTCACTTCTTTAGACATGAATAATTTACTCTGAGTAATTAGTGATACAAAGTAACAATGTTCTGATGTTTTAAAACACACATTTCGGAAGGACAACAGGGTGCAGCACCCTGGAAATGAAGCAGTATACTTGAAAATGCCTGATGAAAACAAAGTTTAAAAACAAGAATATAATCTAATTAGCCAATTACATCTAGAAGATGTAAAAACTCTGTAGAGAAGCTTGAATAACCACAGCTTGTTGTCATTGGTGGATTTACTATGGGTGCAATGGGGCACACACCCACCTGCCTGATAACATTAGGGATTGTGAGATTTTTAGTTTGCCACTGCTAATTGCCCCTGTTTTGTAAAGACAGAAAAGCATACAACCTATAAAACAGAAGAAACCATTACTAATAGGTATGCAAGTATGAGTATATGCTATGAATCTTAATATTGATTTATACCTTCAGCATTGAAAAGATTTTACTTGGAAAATTAAATTTGTGCGAGTATGTACTTTTGCATACTTTTAGAATGATGAGTTTATATTGATAATTTTGGCCCCCTCATGAAATAATTATGGCTCTGTGGCTCTGCCTGAGCTTGTTGACTGGATTTAATATCATAGTTAAGTTTTGATTCAAGCATTCCATATAATACAGATTTTGCCATATTTCCCTTACATTCAATATTAAGCTTTTGCCTGAATATCGTTCCAAATTTCTTGTGGTTAAATGCTGGCTTTGTCTATCTGCTGTATAATTATTCTGTTTGAACCATTGGCTGAAACTGTTGAAGTGGATTGTGTTGGTGTTACAGTGCTGCTGTAAACTTAAACTTCAAGAAATGTTTGATGTTTGATACGGTTGCTAATTTGAGACTTGCAGAGCTCTATTAGTTATGTTAATTTATGAGATCCAATGGTACTTGGTGCAGGTCTGTCACAACTTACTTTAAATTTGCTCCACCTCCTTTTGAGCGCATATTGAGGAAAAGAGCAGTTTCCGAGGCTGAACTGTTCGAGGTATTTAACTTGATTGAAATTTTGTCATTTTTCAATTGGAATTCTTTGTTCCATTTCTAATTTGAAAAGTTCCATAGACTCTGATTCTGTTTGTCTCTAGTAATTGAGAACATGCTTCTATTGAACTTCATTTTTTGTCACAGTGCAGCTTTTATTTTCCCCCTTTAAATTAACAGAACTTATCATTTATTGAATGAGGTCACTACATGCATGGTGGTAGAGTAGAGTTGTAAACTAAGCTGTGGCTGTTTTACATCTATAAACTGAAATGGTTCAGAGGTTTTTAGAAGAGTTGCATTAGCTGCTTGTGACTTTAATTTCCCTTTCCATCAAGAAGGATCTTTTATTCTTCTAATTGTGTTCTTATATTATTCCAAGAAAATATTTGTTGAAACCATTTCAACTGCTATTATAATTAGATTAAGAATTATCGTGGATGTGTCAAATAAGCTTTACAGTTGAATCTTGAAATGGTTATTTTAGTATATTTTTGAAGCTGTTAGAGACTTAGAGAAGGGTATCTATTGGAAAGTATATATTCTTCTGCTTCTCCTGTCCATGTTCTGAGAAAATAAAAAAAACCTAGTAACTTAAGCACGCCTTTAAACATCTCAGGAACTGCATATTTTCTGCTTTTTTTAATCTTTGATGCTACTTTTTCTTTCTTGTGTTTTTTAAATAGGTTATTGGTGTTCTTTTAAGACAAAAGGAACAGCTATACAAGCATACCTATGTAGAGAAACAAGAAAATTCGAATCAATGATGAAAATGAATAGCTATTGAATAGGGAGAATAAGTTATCTTCTAAAAGAAAATAGATAAATGACCTAGAGAGAAGCATGAAACAACAATAAAGAGTGATCTAAAAGGAACACTCTAACATTCCCTTGGGAGTCAGAGAGACTAGAGGAGCACTCCTGCAAAACCCCAGATGCATCATCCAAAAAGACAATAGATAAACGACCTAGAGAGAAGCTAAGTTTAGAGAAATTAAAAAGGAACACCCACGTAAAACCCCCAGATGCATAACTTCAATGAAGGCTAGAGGAATGGTTCTATCCCATAAAAGTTCTCTCTTAGTAAATGGGTATTAACCAGTTATGGTCATAGAGAAGTGGGGTCTTTGAAGCTAAATTTAGAGACTCTGATCCCCGTAATTAATCTTGCATGAAATGAGTGCTCTCAGTTGTTGAATATGCAGCTTTGCAGTGGCAAACCAATGAAAATAGTTGAATTTGCAGCTTTGCAGTTTAAGACCAAAACTCTGGTCTTTGTACCAAGTAACAACCGCTTGGTGTGTTAGCCCATGTGTTAAATTGAGTATGCCTCATAAGTATTTCTAGTTTTGATTGATTTTTTGAAAACTGTGCTAGCCCTTTCTATGTGCAGAATGGCCCAAAAGGATCGATATAGTCGACCCCAACTAGTTTGGGATTGAGGCTTGGTTGTTGCTGGGAAGGAGTGGTCCACTTTTTATTTTTTTTATTGTTTTCATGTCAGAAGTTTGCATACTGTATTGCTTTCGGGTTAATATGACACTTCTGGTTTTTCAGGCCGCAAATCATTACTTATTTGCTGTGAGGATATCTTACCGCCTCATTCTTATGGAACCCGAGTTCTTCCCTGAACATTGGGACTGGTCCTGTTTTTTGGACCTAGTAAAGAAGTCAGTAAATCTGGATCTGGGTCATGGTGCCAAGGATGAGATGGTGATTGCAGATATAAAATGGTGTGGGATACAAATACTGTGTGCAACTTTGGGAATGAGTGACAGAGCAGTTGAAAATTTTGGTGTTGGAGCTGAGGAAGCATCTTTGAGTTTGTTGCGGTTGGTTCTGCAAATGTTACTGTGTTTATGCTTTTAGTTTTTTTTCAGCCTTTCTAAGATGCTTCTTCTGCTTTTATAATTTTCAGCTGGGAGGAATTTTGTCAGGATGTAGCTATAGAGAAGTATGGGTTGTATATTGGGTCATCCAAACTGACTAAGTTTGGTTCTTTCAATGGAGGCATCAAGTTCAGTCAACAGAACTACCTCAGGTCTTGTGGTCTTAATTCTCTGATATCATCACAGAGTCATCAAATTGAGCCGGTGATTAAGAGTCGAAGGGTGTTGACATGGTAGGCGTTATCAAACTAAAATCAAACTATTCTTTTGTTTTCATGATGAGAATAATTTGTTCAATAATTTTTTTTTACTATCAATTTGTTATAATAAATGGTAATGGCTTTGTAATAATATTATCTGAAGTTTCTTTCACAAATTTATGCATTGATCTTGTTGGTTTTACCTTTTTGGATTGTTTTGGGTCCCTGTGGTCCAAAAACTTTATCATTTTACTTCCACGTATTTTTAACATAGGTCTTCCAGGTTCTCTTTCTGATGTTGGTCCCTTGTGAATCAGGGATGATAGGTCAGCTGCCGATCCGTTCATCATCACATCTGTGATGAATAAAAGCTTTGAGATGGTGCTCTTGGCTGTGACTCAAAAATGGCCAGTCCTTCTGTATGGCCCTCCTGGGGCTGGCAAAACTGCTCTCATTAGCAAGTTGGCTCAGGATGCTGGGAGCCAAGGTATTTAGCTTGTTAAAGTTAGAATTATCCATGTTGACATTGTATTACTTGAATGGCTTAGTTAAGAAACTGAAAAAGAAAGAACTAAAAAGGAAAAGGAAAGGAAGAAGATGAAATGGTAGGTGAGATAGAGGAGAAGAAAAAGAAGTGAAGAAAGGTTGTAGGTACAGCTTATTTGCCTATATATATATATGTATGTATGTATGTATGCAAATACGTAAGGGCCCTGTCAACATTATTCTAGAAAAATGACCCTGACCTCTCCCTTGCACTTCTGGCCTTTTCTGTTGTTCAAAACTTCCTGAGTATCCTAAAAATTATTATATCCAACTTCCAGACTACATTGTTGTTAAATTCTCTACTATATGATGAATGAGGGGATGGATAAATGCAAAAAGAAAAGGATGAATCATGTTAAAGAGCCACATAAAATTTTTGGTATTAAATAGTTCAGGAAAGCAGTAATAATGACAACAATGCCAACTTAATGAATTTAATGTAATCAAATCAACTGGACTGTTGACTTGAGTTTTTAGTCCTTGCAACATAGCATTTTAAAAAGAGATGAATCCAACTGTTCAATGTTGATTATGCCATGTTTGCTATGTGCATAATAGCATGTTATTTGGTAATCTGTCCAGTGGATTCTAATGTATTGGATCAGCAGTTGTATTGACTATATGCTGCTCTTAATTTGAAATGCTGTTATAATAGCAACGTAAGGGGCAGGTAGTACCTGGCTTGTAGTATAGAATAAAGATGAAGTGCTTCTTGTGCATTTAAGTTTTCCACTATTGTGTTCTAAAAAACCTGATCATTCTCTTCCTATTCTTCTTTTTAAAACTAAAAGATTGATGTCGGTTTGGTGAATTTTCATTTCAACAACAGTTTGTGAAGAATGCTTAGGGGTTTAGTTTGCATCAGAAGTGTTTGGAATGAGAGAGCATATTTTGGCATAGTTTGTCCTTATTAAGGATTTTTATCTGTATACTAGACTGGGGCATTTAATGGTATTAGAAGACATGATAGGGTCAACATTCGTTCTGTAATTTAAGAGAAGATAGAATGATATATAAACTGCATTGATTAAAAGGTTGATGTGGCATCTGGAGAAAAAAATTCTCCCTTGTATTCAAAAGGCTTTATTTAAGTGCAAGGGTTGACCTGTGTAAATCTTAAGTATCTTCAATAAACATATGAAATTAGGTAGAGAAATTTGTAAGAAGAGGGTTCATATAGCCAGTCCTAACTACTTTTGTTATAAATTCTTTTGAATTGAATTGTACGTGTAGAGTTTCGTGATATATCTAGCTGTTGGAACAATACTGACACCATGCATATAGTGAGCTATTTGTCCTTTTGTCTTTCCATTGATGTTCTCCTATCCTTTTCTTTGGTCTCCGATGTTGATATATATATATTTTTTTTCTGTGGTCTTCTTTCCTTCCTTCTCTCTCTCCATTTCTGCCCCATCCCTCATTTAGTTCTGTCTATTCACATGGATGATCAAATTGATGGCAAAACACTGATTGGGAGTTATGTGTGTACCGAGCAACCTGGTGAATTTAGATGGCAACCTGGGTCACTTATCCAGGTTGGTTTCCTTTTCAGAGAATTCACATGGCTTAATTTTTTGACTGTGCTATGCACCTTTTTACCCATTTGCAACATGTCGTGGTTTCCAATTTCAATAGGCTGTTCTGAATGGATATTGGGTTGTATTTGAGGACATTGACAAAGCACCATCGGATGTGCAATCTATCTTATTGCCTTTGTTGGAAGGTGCAATCTCCTTCAATACCAGTCATGGGGAGGTAACTACCTATTTCTCGTTTGTTATTTTTATACAGAGAAGTGGTCTTTAGGCTCATTTGCTCAAACAATAATTGTCTGAATTTACGAGCTAAATAAATTTCTTCATCATTATTTATTTTTCCAAGGAGTTGGAACCATAAGCTATGTGGTTATTTTGCATCTTTAGCTTCTATTATCTGATAAATGTGGTTCATCATTGTAATTTGCAGGTTGCATTTTTTTTTTTTTGAACTCTGTAGAAATTTTATCTTGGAAGGTTCCTTTGCATACTTCTTTTAAGGATTTTTTTTTTATCTACTGGTCTCAGTTACCAGTTTGTTCTCTCTCTCACTCTTTTAGATAGTTTTAAGTAATGATGAGGATCTTGGACATTTCAGGAAATAAGGGTGCCAGAGAGTTTTCGACTATTTTCTACCATCACCACTTCCAAGAGTGATGTATCTCACGTGGCAGAAGGTTTGTTGTAGTAATCATTGACTATCTTCTATGGCCATTTCTCCATAATTGTAGTTGGAGTATAGATGGCTGAACCAGAGATTTCAGTTGCAGGAGGAAGTTCACTTAGCAATCTTTGGAGGAGAGTGATGATTGGACTACCAAATAATGATGACGTGGAAAATATAGTGAAAGCATGGTATCCGAGTTTGGGACCACTTACCGGAAGACTCATAGGTGGGATGTATGAGATGTTAAAGAATTTTGAGTTCCAAAATGCTTATCACTTACGTACAATAATTTTTTTGTGGCAGAAACAATGGGAAGAGCCAATTCTTCTCCTCTGCACCATTTTGTGGGTTTTCAGTCTGGGAATTCTGCCTACTTAAGTTGTCTTGGCAGGTTCTCGTTAAGGTAATGGACGGTACTTACTACTCAATGTTACCTTTTAAAAGCCAATCAGATTATTGTAACCGTGGCTTTTGCATCCTGGTGGCAGGGACCTCCTTAAATGGTGCAAACGAATAGCAGAATTAGGTTCGATTGGGGATATGTTGACAGTTCATCAGTGTCACCGCATCTATCAAGAGGTCTTTTTTCGTAAAATGCATCTTGCCTTGTTACTGTTTTTGTTTTCTTTTATTTCCTTTCATTTAGATGGATTGTACGGTCTGCAGTCTATGGATAAGTATGCTTCTTCCTCTACAATTAATGAGTCATTGGCTTCTGCTTTTAGGCTGTAGACGTATTTGCGTCCTTTTCAGTTTCTGCTGAAAATCAACTAACTGTAATGAGAGACATTGCAAAGTTGTGGGGAGTTCCAATCGCAGAGGCAGGAATCCAGAATCCTTATAAACCTGAAATTCAGGTATCTGTTGATTTAGATGCTATTTATTACCGATGTTTTAGGTGCTGCTACTTGTTGCACTCATTTCTGGAGTAAACTGCAGAATTTGTTCACAGAAATAAGAATTGGTCGAGTTGCTCTTCAACGCACTGAAACTGTGGTTAGTGGAACATTATGAGATTGTCTCAATTAGTTTAGTCTGTTGTTTGCTTCGATACTGATATTTTCCCCATCCTTTCAGGTGCATGGCCAAGAGAGACTTGTTGAGATGCGGAGTTCTCTATATGTGCTTGAGAAAATAGCTTGCTCTGTTAATTACAATGAGCCCGTTCTCTTGGTTGGTGAAACTGGAACGGGAAAGACTACACTTGTACAGAATCTAGCCATGATGCTGGGTCAGAAGCTTACTGTTTTGGTATGTTGTCGAGGACCACTCACTATCTCTCTCTAGCTTCAAATACCTATGCTGAGTGAATATCGAGCTCTATATAATGCATAATATGATAGAAGTTTGTTCTCTTTTCCAGAACTTGAGTCAACAAAGCGACGTTGCTGATTTGTTGGGGGGTTTAAGCCCATAGATGCACTATCTATATGTATTCCTCTGTATAAGGAGTTTGAGATTCTATTTTCTAAAACTTTCTCGATGAAGGTATTATTCTTTTGGAAGCAAAAAAATATTTTCTGCTCTCTATTAGTTAGATTTCTGGATAAATAACTTGTGCTTCTTGTATGCTGATGTCCAGGAAAATGATAAAATATTTGCTTACTTACAAAAGCAATTGAGGAATAAGAACTGGAAACCATTATTAAATGGATTTAAGAAGTATGTTGATATTTTCCAAAAGAAATTACAGATAGAAAGATCTGGGAGTGGGAAGAAACGGAAGAAACCTTTGGATGAAAATATCAGAGCTTGGGAGAGTTTCTCTGTGCAACTTGAAGCTGCTCTTCGTCAAATTGAAGCTTCATCTGGAATGCTATTTTCATTTGTAGAAGGAGCCTTTGTAACTGCACTTAGAAATGGGGAGTGGATTTTGCTTGATGAGGTGAATTTGGCTCCACCTGAGACCTTGCAGAGAGTTATTGGTGTCCTTGAAGGAGAATATGGGTCACTTTGCTTAGCTGAAAGAGGGGACGCCAGTCCTATACCTAGACATCCTGGTTTCCGTATATTTGCCTGTATGAATCCTGCAACTGATGCTGGGAAGCGTGACTTGCCATATTCAATGCGGAGTAGATTTACGGAATACTTTGTTGATGATGTGTTGGATAAAGACGATTTGAAATTATTTATTAACAAATTTATGGAGGAAAGCAGATCAAATATTGAACTTGAAAAGAAAATAATTGATTTCTATGAAGCAGCCAAAAAGAACTCTGAAGAACGACTGCAAGATGGAGCCAATCAGAAGCCACAGTACAGTTTAAGGTCTTTATACCGTGCACTAGAATATATCAGGGAGGCAAAGGGAAAATTTGGATTTCCAAAAGCAATTTATGATGGATTCTGTATGTTCTTTCTTACTTTGTTGGACAGGCCTAGTGCCAAGATTATGAAAAAGATGATCAAGCAGAAACTGTTGGGTGGAAATAAACCTTCACCTGTACCATTTGATTCTTACTTGAGGGTTATAAAAATATCTGGTTCTGATGATTTCCTTAAGAGTTATGTTCTAACGAAGAGTGTTAAAAAGCAACTGGAGAATGTGGCACGTGCTGTTTTTATTAAGAGATATCCTGTTCTCCTACAGGGGCCCACTTCTAGTGGGAAAACTAGCCTGGTCCAGTATCTTGCTGCAAGAACTGGGCATGAATTTGTACGGATAAATAATCATGAACATACTGATCTGCAGGAATATTTGGGTTCTTATATATCTGATGCTCAAGGGAAGCTTGTATTTCAGGAAGGTGTGTTAGTTAAGGCTGTTCGCAATGGTTACTGGATTGTTCTGGATGAGCTCAATCTTGCTCCTTCTGATGTGCTGGAAGCATTGAATCGATTGTTAGATGACAATAGAGAACTCTTTGTGCCTGAACTGCGGGAAACTGTTCGGGCACATCCAAATTTTATGCTTTTTGCGACTCAAAATCCACCTACTTTCTATGGCGGGCGTAAAATGCTTTCCCGAGCCTTCCGTAATCGTTTTGTGGAGGTTCATGTGGATGAAATTCCGGATGATGAGTTGAGCACAATAATAGAGAAAAGGTGTAAAATCCCGGGAAGCCGTGCTAAGTTGATGGTTGAGGTCATGAAGGAGTTGCAGTTGCACAGGCAGAGTAGTAAAGTTTTTGCTGGGAAACATGGATTCATAACTCCACGAGACTTGTTTCGCTGGGCAAATCGTTTGAGGGCTTTTGGAGATTCTAAAGAAGTTATGGCTGAACATGGTTATTACCTTTTGGCCGATAGACTGCGGGATGGCAGAGAGAGGCAAGTGGTTCAAGAAGTTTTAGAAAGGGGTCTTCGAGTCAAAATTGTCAGAGATGACTTGTACAAGGTATCTTTTCCTTGGGTGCATTTGTGCTTGTTTGTGGATATGCTGAATGTTTTCTAACGATTTACTCGAGTGTATTGAAACCGATAGAACTTTAAGTTATTTTTTTGAATGATTCAGATATAAGGTGTTCTTCATTTTCCTTTGGGGAAGAAGGCATCATTGGTACCAAATTGCATTAAAAGATTCTCATTATTCCTTCACTGCACTTGCTGTTTAAACATATGCCCATTTTTTTAATGTTTAGTGCATGAACATTGGTTAACCATATATTATATTCAATATCTATCAGATGGTTGCTAAAAGTTCCATGCTTTGGGGATTCTTGCTGCCTGGTATACTGTAGGCATGACAATTGTAGTCTTCTTGAAATTGGATTTTCGTTTGCAAGTCCTGATGCATGAACCATGTAAATTTATAATATGTGTTATGCATTTGACTGTTGCCTATAATAATGTTTCTGTTGTGCTTCCTTGACCGTCAGCACATTTCAAGGTGCAGGTAATGTGGTCATGCATTCCATTCCTTCATGCCTAAAGGATATTTTGCCTTGTGTTCTGCTTTTTGCTTCCCTCAATATATGATTCTATTGTTCCGTCCTTTTGAGGGCTCTTACCTCATGATTGGTTCCGTTATTCTTATTTTTCTTTTTACCTCTACACAATTTGTGGTTAGTTTTATTCATTTCCTGGTTTTTCCAGGAATCAGTTGCAAGGGAATCAGAATCAATTGGAAGTGACTTGCAGAGTTTTGGCGAGTATGAACTCATAAAACTTACGCACTCCTGGCATTTTCTTTCTTGAATTTTTCTTTAATTCATAATATGTTACTGTCCAGTGTCATACTCACCAAAAGTATGAGGAGATTGTATTTTCTTGTCAAGCGTTGTTTTGAGTTACGCGAACCTGTGCTCCTTGTTGGCGAAACTGGTGGTGGGAAGACTACTGTCTGTCAGTTACTGAGTGGAGCATTGGGGTCAAAGTTACACATTTTGAATTGCCATCAATACACAGAAACATCTGATTTCATTGGGGTTTGTGCTAATATTATTTGAGTATTGTTGCATATATAGTTTTCAGTATTGACTTCCCCCTTATTTGTGTCTTTGAAATTCAACTGATCAAATGTTCTATAGGGGTTCTATCCTGTCCGAGAGAGATCAAGACTGGCATCAGAATTCAAATGTATAATTGAAAAATGGATATTGTCAAAAGCTTATATCCAATTTGCTCAAGACTTGGTGAGAATTTTGTGAATGATGTATATGCTATATAGAAGAATCTTTTGTTAGTCCTTGATGAATTGATGTTCCATCTTGAATTCCTTTGATGCAGGATGTTTCTTCTGACATTGTTCAGGCTTCTTCAACTCTTGATCACCTCGATCTAATAATAACAAGCTATAGACAAGGCCGAGTTTCATGTCCTGATGTCACTGTGAAAGACCTTGATACTCTCGAGCAGATGAAGTTGGATCTGACCCGTTTGCATCAGAAGTGGCACACAATATTTATGTGGCAAGATGGGCCTCTAGTGCAAGCAATGAAGGCTGGTGATCTGTTTCTTGTCGATGAAATTTCTTTGGCTGATGATAGCGTATTGGAAAGGCTGAACAGTGTCTTGGAGCCAGAGAGAAAATTGGTGGGTATTCCTTTTATCAGGTCCCTGATTTCTGTAAAATGTCAGAATACTATTAGCTTTTTGGTTTTTTTTTTTTTTTTTTTGGTTACAAGGAGGACTAATCCCCAACATACTATGGACTGTTTTTCATTATGCATCATTGATCATTCTTATATGCTATGTTTGCCCTTGGTTTTAAAAGAAGTTATTTTGCATCATATTTTCTTTGATTAATTCAATAAGCCTTCTGTGACCGATTTATAACGCCTATGCTTTTACATGTTTCTTTGTTCTTGTTATGCATATCATGGTTATCACACTGATTGTATACATGTAAATATCCAATTTACATATTTTTTTCCATGAGACTTCTAAATTTACCTTTAGAATGGAGCCCTTTCAGCATCTCTTTTTCCTTTTGCAGTCGTTGGCTGAGAAAGGAGGGCCTGTCATGGAAAATATTACTGCTCATGAAAATTTTTTTGTCCTTGGAACTATGAATCCTGGTGGTGATTATGGTAAGAAGGAATTATCTCCAGCTCTTCGTAACAGGTTTACCGAAATTTGGGTTCCTTCTGTTGGTGATCTAGATGAACTTGGAGATATTGCTTTGAACAGGTATGTCTTAAGAAACTTGTCCACTGAGGTGGTGCTTGCAAAACAGAAATGAAATCTTTCATGCTTCATTTTAATCCATCTTATAATTTTCTTGTCTGCAGATTTTCCAATCCAGAACTCTCATACATTGTGGATGCTATGCTAAAGTTCTGGGAGGTAAGTTCTGTTTGATTTCCTTGTTGCTGCTTTTTTTCCTTTTCTTTTTTTCTTTTTTTCTTTTTTTGCTTATGACCAGTTATGAATTGTTCGTTACTTTTTCATGTACAACTAGACAATGATAAATTCTGTTTCAAATGCCCCCCACACCCCTTTCTGTGTGTGTTGTACACAGAAGTATTTCCTATTAAGTGGGGGTTGGACCTTGAAGCTTCTTTAATTTGGAAGATATTGTTGCTTTGGAGAAAATCCTTCGTAGATTGCCCCTAGTACCTCGAAAGCTTTGACCTTTGTGGGTCAGGTGTTAGGTTTCTTATATGTTTTTCATTTGATGACAGCCAGCACCTTCAGTCATTGTGCTTGTGTTTTTTTTTTTTCCTGAGAAATCCTTCGGACCTTCCACTCGGTATGATGACAAATATCATTAATGCGAGGGGTTTCTCAGGTATCAGACATGCAGCTTGTCATAGGTAATTTGTTCTGCTGTGTTTGGGAGGAGGCTGTTTGGATCAGTGGCTATGAAACGTTCTGGATTGATTTTAACTTTGCCATATGATCATGGTGGTTATTTTAGTTTTTCCTATTAAGAAATCTTGGCATGGTGCTTGACTTGTAGTTTCTAGGCAGAGTTTTCCTTCTTTTGTTTTTTATTTTTTTCTGTTCTATGGTGCATCTACCCTATTTTAATTAAACAAATCTATTCCCTAACTCTAGAGAACTTCCATGTCCCTTAATCCTGCTTTGTTGTGAGGTAGCTTTGAATGACCTTTCTATCCCTTCAAACTGATGGTGGAGTGGTCTTAATATTTTTTTCTTTAGCTTCTTGTCTGGCTTCAGGTTTTTGTGGTTAGTATGCAGAGGATGGTTTGACTTCATGGTTTATGTATTTTACTTCGCATGATATATTCACCTTTCTATTGTTATTTCCTGTTTGCTTTAGTGGTTTAACCAGCTAGAGAAAGGGAGGACGCTTACTGTGAGAGATCTCCTATCTTGGATTCAGTTTATTATGGTGACTAAAGGAGGTTTAGGATCCGATTATGCATTCCTCCATGGGCTTTTCCTTGTTTTACTTGATGGACTAAGCCTAGGTAATTCTTGTCCTGTGGATTTCAATTGTATTTTCTCACTCTTAATCCTGGTAGCAGGTTGAATACGTGTCTAGATAATCCCTGCTTTTGTCTGTCAACTGCATTTTCTCTCCCTTGATCTAGGTAGAACGTATGTAGTCTTGGAATTCACAATGTTCATATTCAGAAACGGAACACAATCATTATGAATGTTACTTTAATTGTTATCATGTGATGTGAACTAAACTTTGTTTCTATTTCTTACCGTGCATTTTCCCTTGACATGTCTTGAAAGGCTTAAATTTTCTTTTAACCTTCTCTTTTGTTTTTTTATTCAATTATATGCTGGCTTGCTGTTCTTTTGATTATAATGGCTTTCATTCATTGGTTTGGGAGGAACAAAAGAAATCACATTTTATGTTTGCAAGTTAGGAGTTACAACTTTTTAGCTGCAGATTATGTTCTATTAATCTGGTGTACATTTTCAATTGAATCACTTTCTAATTATGCTTTCACTCATGCTTATTCAAAAACTAGTGAGTTGACCTTCAATTATCATATCTTTCGTATGGTCTATTCTTAAGCAAAGCTGTCAAAGTTAGAAGGGATAATGTTGCAGTATCCTAGTATTTTAAATCCAGTAGCTAGGGGAATTAACATGTGGACGAATCTTATATGTTTCAGCAGCAGAGTCAAAATTGTGGAAATGTTCACTTCCTCCTCTCGATTGATGTTAATTGGTCTTTAAATTGGTTCAATTTTCTGAGAGGCCAGGCTTCACATTTTTTGACATTTCTTGTGCAGTCAATGTGTCTCATCTATCTTCTGTTTTCCTCTCATAAAATTTTCATTTGTGTGAGTTTTCAGGTACTGGTATTTCCAAAAATGATGCAGAATTATTAAGAGAGACATGCTTGTCTTTTCTTCTGAAAGAATTAAAGGTGCGTTTGGTACGGGTTGCTTTTGGCTGAATCACCTATTTGGCTTCTCTAGTGATTGGTGCAAATAAACCATATCTTCATTTTCCTTGTTTTTATCTCTGAAATAAGCATATGGCACTTGCTAACCTTGACGTGCTTGTTATGATCTATCCAAAAATTTTCGAAAATAATTTTTTTCTTTTGGGGTGGAATGTGGTTTAGAGAATTGGATACTTGAGCCCGTCACGAAAGTGGGGTTCCAAGCATTATTGTGTTTTGGTTTGTTTCAAGAATCTCGCATTGCCCTCTTTTGCGGGGATGGAGAAAGTGTCCTCAAGACAGAATCTTGCTTTATCAAGTGTTAGGTAACTGAAACTTAAGATTATGACGGATATATCCACGTCATTTAGTATATTATGATAAAAAGCCTTCAAATTAATTTATTATTTTACATGACTATGTGAAAGGACAATAATCAAAATCCTGACAAAAACGGAGGAACGATTTTAATGAATTGTAATTTTATATCCTAATTTGTTTATAATTATATCATTACTTCATTTGTAATTAAATTTCATGTTATTCCTATTATTTATATTTTTAATTTGCTGACTAGTTAGCATACATCCATTGCCCATTTTTTTTTTCATGATTAAGTAGTTCAAATTCATGAAAATTATTACACCTGTTGTGTACCTTTTCGCCCATGAAAAGCAAGTGTAGCCTCTTCATCCCTTGAGGATATGATTTTCTTTATACAAAGAGATTATGATTTCAAAATAATGTTTTTGGAGTTTAATTTTAATTTGTCTTCTGTGATTTTAAAGGACTTGAGTTAATCATTGCACTTGAAACCAAAATAATGACAAGGTATGATGGTAATCCATGATTATCATTCTTATAAATAATTGCTCAAACTTTGTTGAAACATTCGATTAGACGAAAATATTCCTAAACACCTCCTATGTTGGTGTACTTGTTAAAATTCATCACTTTCTCTTCGCTCTTAACAGTTTAATTTCAATTTATGTTTCTCATTTCTTGTGTCTAGAGAGGTTAAACCTGAAATTTTCTTCTCACTTTTCTCCATTGGGTATTAAAATTGGTAGATATGATTTTAAATTCAACTTAAATAACAGTGTAGTTTCTCTTTAGTTAGTTAGCCAGTTGTCTTCACCCATTTCATTTTTGGGTTTTAAGCATAAATGCAAGACATTATAAGTTAACTGTTTTTTGATACTTGCCTGTTATTCCTGTATGATGCACTGGAGTATCTTTTTATTTTTATTTTTTGAACCTTATGCCAAATTTGGGTTATTTTATCCAGTATTAGTTTCAATTGACCTGAAAAATTGATCATTTAAATTTATAATTATAACATTTAAGCTCTTAGATGAATTATAATGCTCTAAGGTGTCAATTGTGAGGTTTAGTGAAAACATGAAGCCTCGATTTTTCCTCCAAAAAATAGTTTTCTTAAATCTAGTTTGGATTTATAGTAAGTTGGATTTATATTGCACAAATTTTCACTGTGCCACAAATTTGATATGTTCCGTATTGAGCATTTTGTTAGCTTGCAATATTGGCAAGGTTGTGAGACTATTGTTGCCAGTTGCTAACAATGCTTGTATTTTTGCTGTTACAGGAGGATACTAACCTACATAAACTGTCAGTCATGGAAAATTATGGTTGGGGTGATGTTGGAGAACCTGTCGATATTTCATGCGGTGATGATATGCAGTGTGACAGTAGCTTTGGTATCGATCCATTTTACATTGAAAAAGGTAACTTATAAGTTATGTTGTCTTGTTATTCAGATAGAAATATTATGTGCTTGCACTTTGTTCTTTTTGAGGAGCTTGTAAAGGCTTCAGATATCATCAAATATTTTGTTCTACAGTATATTTCTCTAATGGATTGCAAATGTTTCATTTCCTTCAATTTGATCTTGTTTTACCTTTTCTGAATCTTCAATCAATTTATATGTTTCTATTTTCTATTCAAATAGCAGCATTAAAATAGTATCATCAATGCTTATTGGGTCAGTGTTTACCCTCGTGCAGTAATAATTCCTTGGCAACTTATGTGTTATGTTTATAGGTCTTGAAAAATGTGAGGCTGGTGGTTTTGAATTTTTGGCCCCAACAACACGCAGAAATGCTTTGCGGGTATTGCGAGCTATGCAGCTTCCCAAGCCTGGTATGTTTTGCAGTACTGAGATTTTCTGTTTCCCCACCCCCAAATCCAAGCCACCAAAAAGGGTGAACCACACTGCTTCCTTATCCTTCCATATGGTGTTTTGTGCTTCTTAGCTTCTTGATTTTTGCATGCTTTGTAGTTTTACTGGAAGGCAGTCCCGGTGTTGGTAAAACAAGCTTGATTATTGCCTTGGGAAAGTATTCTGGGCATAAAGTTGTCCGCATAAATTTGTCTGAGCAGGTTGGTGATTCTTTATATGAATTCTTTATGATTTTTGCATATTTCTTTGATATCATCCACTTGCTGTTTCTGGCCTTGCTATAATGGAAAGGATGGTTTAATGTTGCTTCTGGTGCAGACTGACATAATGGATTTGCTGGGATCAGACCTACCTGTTGAGAGTGATGAAGGGATGAAATTTGCATGGTCTGACGGGATCTTGCTACAGGTCCAAATTTTGACTTCACAAGTGTTTTTCATTGCTAATAGTTTGGGAGACATTTATTTACGAAATTGCACTTTTGCAGGCTCTGAAAGAGGGTTGTTGGGTTTTGCTGGATGAGCTTAATCTCTCCCCACAGTCTGTCTTAGAGGCACTACTATGACCCTTCTTAATTTTGTTTACTTTTTTTCCCTCTCTTCTTTGCAACTGCTTAACGTCCGCATTGATTTGATGAAATTTTTTCCTCATCAGGGCTTGAATGCTATCCTGGATCATCGTGCTGAGGTCTTCATTCCAGAGCTTGGCCAAACCTTTAAATGTCCACCATCTTTCAGAATCTTTGCATGTCAAAATCCTTTTTCCCAAGGAGGTGGCAGAAAAGGCCTTCCCAAATCCTTTCTGAATCGTTTCACTAAGGTTGGCTTCGATGTTTTTCTTGTAGCTCTGCAAGTCTCATAAGGTTTAGAATTAGTTGATGTGAATGCATCAGATGGTTCATTATCTGTTTGCTTATGGCTGGTTTCAGGTGTATATAGATGAGTTAGTTGAAGGTGATTATCTTTCCATCTGCACTTCACTTTTTCCATCCATTCCAAGACCCATTCTTTCAAAACTAATTGTCTTCAATAAAAGGCTACATGAAGACACTATGTTACATCACAAGTTTGGTCAGGATGGCTCACCTTGGGAGTTCAATTTGCGTGATGTGATTCGTTCTTGTCAGATTTTTGAAGGTGCGGTCTAGTTCTTTATCTGTATTCATTTGTTATTCAACTTATCGTATTATTGGCCTTTTATAGCATAAATTGGTGGCTTATGATGTTGCACTTCTAAAGTTTATGAAGAAATAAAATCCATCAACGCCCTAATATTCATAATTCTTTTCTATGTTCCTATTTTGATTATGCTCAATTTTCTTACTTAACAAAGCTTTATTTATTTACAATAATTTTTTAAATCTGTTTATGTTAAATTTAGGTGCTCCTGAGAAATTAAAGGTTGATTGCTTTCTCAACATTGTATATGTTCAGAGAATGCGTACTGCTGCTGACCGCAAAGAAGTCCTGCGGATCTATGAAGAGGTGTTTGGGGTTAAGCCATTCATTAACCCTTACCCACGAGTGCAATTAAATTCTAAGTATTTGATTGTGGGGAACACTGTCATCAAAAGGAACACTTTGCGGTCGTCTAAGCCTTTGAACAGTGCATTGAATATCATCCCCAGTATTCGCCACAGCTTGGAAGCTGTTGTCCATTGCATAAAGCATCAATGGTTGTGCATCCTAGTTGGTCCACCTTCTTCAGGGAAGACTTCACTGATAAGGTTATTGGCTCAGCTCACTGGAAATGTGCTAAATGAATTAAGCCTTTCAACTACAACTGATATATCTGAGTTACTTGGATGTTTTGAGCAGTATAATGCCTTCCGCAATGTTAGGTCACTTATTGCTCAAGTTGAGTGCTATGTTAGTGAGTACTGCAGCTTGCAGTTGGAGTTTGCAAAGATGGCATTTATAAGTGAAAGAACAGATTTGATCACCAAGTGGCTTGCTTTCCTATCTAGTATGAATTCCAGCTCCATGTCAAGTTCTACTTCTATCTATCTGGAGAACTGGGAGAGCATGACGAACTCTCTTAGTTTGCTTGTTGAGATCATTCAACAATTGAAGTTGGATGTTACACAAAATAGATTACCTTTCTCCTGGTCAACTGAAGAGCTAAATAAAACCATCAAGGTAATTTCAAAGTTGCAAGAGGACCAGAAAAGAAGGCCACAATCGGTGAAGTTTGAATGGGTTGCGGGATTACTCATCAAGGCAATCGAAAATGGAGAATGGATTGTTCTAGAAAATGCAAATCTTTGTAATCCCACGGTATTAATTACATTCTTATGAATTCTTGATTTCTAAGTCTCCTAATACTAATTAATAATTTCTGTTTGCCAATTTTCTCATTTTCTTTTTCCACTTGATTGTTCACCTTAGGTTCTCGATAGAATCAACTCTTTGGTGGAGCCGAGTGGTTCCATTACAGTTAATGAGTGTGGGATTGTTGATGGAAGCTCAGTGGTTCTTCATCCACACCATAATTTTCGAATTTTCCTCACGGTTAATCCAAGCCATGGTGAAGTATCCCGAGCAATGCGAAACAGAGGAGTTGAAATCTTTATGATGCCACCGTACTGGCTGCTTAATGACGGAAGTGACTTTGAACTTAAGGATGTAAAAAGATTTCTTGTTTCATCTGGCATTCCTATGGATAGATTAGTTGATTCAATGGCCAAAGCTCATATTTATGCCAAGAATGCAGGCTTACATGTTAATGTTCAAATTACATATCTTGAGCTTGCCCGTTGGGTTCAATTATTTAAGCAGCTTCTCATAAATGGCAAGCAGCCTTTCTGGAGCCTCCAGCTAAGTTGGGAGCATACTTATCTATCTTCTTTAGGTGAAGCTGTGGGATGGGACATTGTCAATCATGCAAAAGTTGCTTACTTCTCAACAGCAACATTGTCAGAATCTGATTTGCATGCAGAGTTGTCATTGTATTTACCTGGGGGCTGGCTAATGCCATTGAAGTTGAGGGATTTTATATGGTATTCGAAAGAAGCTTCTGTCAGACAGAATCTCATGTATTTGGAGTACCTTGTGGCTCAACACGAGTTGGGTTCATCATGGAACAGGAGGTGTGTGGACCATGACTTGTCTGCTTCTAGCCGCAGGGGGGTTGGCTTGATGGAAATGAAGATGATATGCCAGCTCATGTTTCCTAAGGCTCCAAACTGCTTGAATTCTAAATCTGTTACGAACACAGAAATTGATATGAAGCTGACTAAGAAGATGCTATTGTTTGCTGCGAACTGGACAGTTGAACAAGCTACTGGAAGCGATTATAAGCTTTATCTTCTCCACTTTAGCTGGTTTAGTTCCAAACTGCAATCGAGTGATCATTTTTTCAGATCTTTTCTGCATTTGCTCGAACAGGAATTGGAGCATCCTATTTGGAAGTGTATTTTTCATTCCTACCATGAGCTTGCTTATCTTCCTTATGCAGATTCTAGCTTGCAGCTGACACCATTGCTTTCACTTGATTTAGTTGATTTAACAATGTCATATGGCATGGCAGAAGTGTCACATAAACGCCTTTGTAATGCTATTAACTGTATAGAACTTCTAAGGTTTTCATATCAACAGTGGAATGCCCAAAGTGGGCACGGCTATGCTAATGAAACTCAGCGTTTCAAGCCTGTCTTGGATGCTCTGCAGGAGTTGGAAGAGGAAATTCTTAATATGCTTGTTGAATCTCCATCTTACAATGTCCTGATAAAATTATACAGGGACCTTCTCGAAGATCACTTGACATTTTGGGATGCTTTTACGTCATCTCGGTTTGAGCAATTGGTAGTTTCTTGGCATTCTTTGATAAAGGATGTTTCAAAATTGCGGGATTTCTGTCCTGGAGCTGTAGACAATTTATTCATGGTAACTCTAGTACAGTTTTGGCATCTTTCCTTTCTCTTTCATTTAGTATTCGATAACTAAAATTTTCCCTTTCCATTACAGATTGCTAGTAGGAATATGGATAAAAAATTTCATCAACACTCGCAACAATCCTTGCTCTGGATTCATGGTGGTCATCCAATTTTACCTGCATCTGCTGAATTATATAAGAAGCAGCAGTTGTTTTTAGAGCTATGCGAGTCAATTTGGCCAACAAAGGCAAATCCCTATAAGCAGGGTATGGTTTATTGTTATCACTGTCACGTTTAACTGTTGTTTGTTATTCTTCTGTCCCTCCATCTTTCTCTTCCACTCTCTCTCTCTGTATTTCTAACTTGTGTAAAATCTCTATGGCAGGACATGATTGTCTCACTGAGGTAGCTGCTTCTTCCACTCCTAAACTTCGCTTCCTTGCGGTGCAAGGTAGAACTTTCACCTTTCTCTTAGGGGGTGTTTGTTTCATGTAAAAAGTTTTTCACAAAAATGTTCTCCAGATTTTCTCATGTTTGTATGGCCTTTTTTTTTTTTTTTGTTTTTTGGAAAATGGTCAATGTAAAATATTTTATAGTCAATCTAGATACTTGGTTCATTTGTAGGAAAAAATCTTGAGCTCAATAAAATGTTTTGTAGAGAGAATCAACTCAATTTATACTTGCACTATTATCCAACTGTTTCAACCATGACCACTACCACCACCTCACCATCCCACCTCACCCCACCATTAGCATCCCACCACCACCATCCAACCGACACCACTATCATCATTTCACCACCACCTTATCACCATCGCTATCGTCAATACTACCATCTCTCCTCCATCCTTGTCACCACCACTACCACCTCCATTGTTGCCACCATCACCTCTCCTCCAGCTTTGTTGTCATTGCACCACCACTTCAACCATGATAAACACCACCTCCATTATCACTTCACCATATATACTTGTGCTGCCGCGACCACCACCAAAACCAAAATGTCATTATTTATCAAACACCAGAAAATATGTTCATGTAAAACTTTATTGGAAAAGGTTTTACGTGTACCAAAAAAAAAAAAAAAAACTCTTACTTTGTGCTCATTTGCATAGCTGGAAGATAATAAAATGTTGTTGGTCTACTATGCAAATTGTCATTGGCATGCCTGCTGATTTTGCTGGAAAGTTTGATTCATCCTCATTTGTTGATTTTTAACTTATTCAAGTCATGTCAATTATATTACAATTTTAGCATCTGTTTCTAGTTCGTTGCATGTAATATTTGTGATTTCATTTTGATTTTGGAAAGGCACATGGTGTGTGATAGCTTATTTATTCAAAGGTTAGAGCTTGTTGTAGTCAATATCACTGGGCCAAGTATTTTTAGCCTTTGGTTGATTAGAGTCTGGTTGTAAGTTTGTAAGCCCTAATATTTGTGTTTTGTGTTTCCAAATTAAAGAATCTCAGTGTCATTTATTTCCACACTACTCTATAGCTTGGGGGCAGGTGGCAAAGATTGTTTGAATTAGTAATAAAGCTTGGTTATCTCAGGGGGTAGAAGAATATTTATTGGTGCATTGGATGTGGGTTTTGGAAGGGAGAAAGATAGTAAGATTTTATTGAGATGAGTTGTGAGCGCATTCATAAATGAATGTAGAGAAATGAGAGTATTTTTAATTACCATTTTACATCAAAGCAGTTTTGGGATAGGATAGTCTTCTTGGCTCATTGTGGGGTCATGCTTGCAGGGACAGTTGGAGGTACGAAGGGATTGGAGTGCTTTATTATTTTGAACTAGTTTGTTTTGTTGTGGTTTTTTTTTTCTTTTTTTTTTTTGTTATTTGGGAGGATGTCTTGTTCTCCTTTTGTCCATTCACTATGCCCATATGGTTTTTTACAAAGATCTTTTTGTCAATTAAAGGTCTATTCCATAGGCCATGAGAATTTGAACTTATGGAGAATGTGAAGAAGAAAAAAGAAACTGGAGGGAAGATAATACTTTGATGGAAGATAGACATTATAGGACAAGTTGAAAATTTTGTTTTCATGAAATTGTAATTACTCATGTATAGGTTTGGTATGGTTAGACACTGTGACGAAGCAGACAAAATAGTTTGACATTTGGTGAAGGGCAATGCATTTTAATTTCAGAAACAGTAAAAATGAAAGGGTACAAATGCCATGGAGAAAACAGGGAACTATGATAAAAGGGACATATTCAAATCAGTATATTAGCACATATCATCCTTGAATATATGGCGTCTCATTTGTGTTATATCTCACCCTACTAACTGTGACATTGAAATTTTATTTGCTTATGTCTCCATGAATTTTCTAAACAGTTTTCTTTGTAGGTATTTGCATGTCAGCATACATTACCAGTAGTTGCAATGAAGATAATGGCCAAGTTGTTCTGCAGTTGGAGGAAATGATTCAGGTTTGTGCTCTATTACCTAACACTTAAGTGGGATGCATTTATAAAAACCTAAACTTACTGGCTATGATTCTTTTAGATGCTGTTGGAAAGATTTGAATATGAAAAGAGGAAATTGGAGGCAAAGTTACTGTCAAATGAGTCAGTGACTCTCGAGGAAAATTCAGTTTCTTGCTGTGATTTCTCTCCTGAAACACGGTGTACAAAACCTGGCTTTTCTAGTTGGCTGGAAACACTTCCTATAATTGACAGTAAAAGTTTTGTCCTTGATATGGATCTACTTCAAAAGCTTTCAATGATTGTTTTGGCTGATCGCAGAGAATGTCAGCTGGTAAGATCAATGCCGTTTGTATCTTTAAGCTACTGCACTTTATAGTTGGTTGCCAGACTTTAATTTGTACAGCTTTAGTAATTTGTTCTTGTGTTAAAACTCCCTAGATTGCTCAGATTATGAGTTTGTTTAGTTTCTTTGAAAGTGGAAGAAAATTGGCATGCTTAATTACATGTCACACCGAAACCTTTACTGTGAATGTCAACACCATATAAAACTCTAGGTTTTCTCAATCCAAAATGGTTGAAAAACAATGGATGTGTTTAAGAGCAGACCTAGAGTCCCTAGATATGGCTTGTTTAAGGCGTGTTTTTGAATTAGATATACATGTAGGCTTTAGGTAAAGTAGTGTTGCTTGCAGTTTACCTGTCACAATTGTCTTTAATGTGGATTTGCTACTGTGACTCAGTTTTATAAACATCTTTCAACTGGGCCATGGGCATTTATGAAACACTATGACTGCGTTGAGATAGTATGCTTAGGTAAAGGAGTTGTTGATGAATCTTATGAGAGTTAATGATAATGGGATCCCTCATTACTTAATGTGTTTTTGGCATTATGTTAACAAGGTTTTTTCCCATCTCCCGTTTTTTTTTTTTTTATTCAATTTGTTCTGTGTTTGCTTCCTCTGATGACAGGCGTTGGGCTGTGTATCTAACCTTCTAGAGTCTGCCATGAAATATTCTTTAACCTTTTCAACTAGACCCCCCCAAAATTTTATACCGCATCAAAAAATTTTGTGGACACTTGATGCATGGACATCGGTGGATGCAGGTTAGTGAATTCCTTGTTTATTTTTTTACCTGCACTTTAGTGATATGTTGACGCCCAGCACTCCTTTGTCTTTCAGTGAATGCAAAAATTGCCAGTTATGTTCTTGAAATGTGGTTTTGGTGGCATTCGTCGTTGTGGAGCCATTGTCCTGTTTTTTCTGAGGTATGAGTCGTGATAGTTAAGCGGATTTAATAACTGAAAATTTATTTGAGGATAGTCTCTTTTAATAGCTTGTTGTGATGCAGAACTTTGGAAAAGTTGATGGTTATCAAACTCCACTACCTGATATGCTAGTTCAACCTGTGCAGACTGCATCTATTGTTCAATCTCTGTAAGATTTGTTGCTTCTACCATTTTGCTGCTTACAAATTCCTGAATGTTGTAATCCTTGTATGTATAGTTGCATACGTCTAAGTACATCACACCATGTTTCTCTCTCTCTCTGTTTGTATGTTATGTTACACAAAATGATTTGTGCGTTATGCTATTTGTAACACTCTAGCCTGAAGATCCTCACTTTGTGTAAAATACATTTATCTGTTTGGAACTCTGTCCAAGTGAAAATTAGCAGCAATGGTGGCCTTTTCTTGTTTTGCAATCACCATAGATCATCACTGGCATAAAAAAGCTCTAATAGTTTGATTCTCTCTTGAGTTGTACTTCCATTTTTCTTTTCCCTTTTTGTGATTCATGTCTCGGTTTAGCAATATTTTAGCTTTTGGAGCTTTCCTTTATGTGGAAAAAAATTAAGATGAAACTTCCATTACAGTTATAAGCTACAAAGGTTGTCGTATGCGTCAGCCTTCATTTAGTTTCTAGATCTTGGTGACTAGTATATGGTAAACAATATGCAATTCATTATTTCACATTGTATTTCTTTCATTTTCAAATTCAGGCAAAGAACATGTGCTATTAAGGATTATTCTGTTCACTGTTTGAAGCTTAAATCTGCTTCGTGCAACTTGTGGCAAAGTTCTTTACCAGGAATGGACTTGTCTAGTTTTCTCTTATCTGTTACTCGCTCTCTCTTCCAACAGGTAGCTTGCTTTACATGAATTATAGAATTTCGTATTGTTTAATTAAATGGGTAATCGAAACTTCATATTATGCTGTTTACAGATTATATATGCACACAGAAAGGCATTTGATGTTGATAAATTTGCAGTAATCAAGTCCATATTTTCCACCTTCCATAAGAATGTGACAACGGTATATTTTTTTGACTTTTCTTTATCTTTGTAATAAATAAAACTTTGATGTGTTTTGATTAAGCTAAGTTCTTTCTTGTTTCGCAATTTGTTAGCGAATGTTACAAACCTTTATGAGCTGTGTTATTCAATAAGCACCTTTGCAGGCTCTTTGTTTTGAAAATCAAATAGCCTTGATACTTTGTTTTGCAACACTTTACCTAATCATAAATTTGTAGTAAACACAATCTCTGACATGTTTATAATGTCTTCTTTTGGTGACAGCAAGATGACATACAGCGTTTGATCTCTGTTCTTGGGTCATCAAACCATCAGAAGCTGAACTCCTTGGTGTCTTTGTTCATTGAGCCAATACTTCAGGAGCTTTATCTTCACTGCTCATCAACTGGTGATTAGTTGTCTTCCTCATTTATTTTTTATTGTCTTTTCACTTTTTTTGGAACTCTTATTGAGATTATTTATTTCAGTTGACATTTTATCTTTATTTTGCGATCCTTTTTCTTTTTGTAGACTTGTACTTGAACAATGGCTATGCGTGGTTACAAATTGGGGCTTTGCGTTTTAGTCTCTTGCTTAGCGGTGATGATTTTGACCCTGCCATGAAATATTCTTTCAAGCACTCGCAACTAGAAGAAAGGATTTCATCTCTCAAGCTTGAAATAAAGGTGGCATTCTTATCATCCTTTTCGTATAATTTCGTGCACGAATTTTTTCGTAGGTCTGCATTCCACTTTATACTATTACTACCTGTTGGCAATGCCTGAGTAGTGTTTATCTAAGACATCAAACTTCTGTTAACTTGTGATTGTAACAATTTTGTGTTTGCTTTGAGAAATTAGTAGTAAAATATATGAGCCATTATAGCCATTGCTACCGTATGCTTACTTTTTCTTGTACTTTATACATTCACACATGGCATCTGCTGGTGTAAGATTTTTTGTTGGAGCATATTTTCTGATGATGTGGCTTCTTACAGGTGCGGCAAGAATGTGACTATCTTGCAGGACGGTTATCTTCAAGAGAGGCTGATAAAAAGAGGACAGATGCATTAGAAAGGCTTGAAATTGAGCGTAAAAGGATTCAGAGAAAGGTAGTTTTCCTTCAATTTGGATAATTATTTTCTTATGACATTGGTAAAATAATTCTATTCACCAACGATGTATGATAAATGCAACCCTCTGTTCCATTGATTGATTGACTTGAACAATGTATTCCTCTAATTTTGTTAGTTAAAAATGATCATTCAAAACTGGGATTCTTAAAAAAAAAATTTTAATTATTTTTGTTGACCAGATTACTTCTTGGTGCAGATCTGTGGAAGAGTATATGATATTTGTGTCTCCAAAAATGGGTGCAAATTACTTTCTAAACCTTGGGGGAAATCATAGGACTTTGAATTATCACCCTTCTACTTTATTTGCATTGCTTATGAATATTAAGCATGAAAGAAGAATGATGTTATGTATTTTATGTACATTTTGTACATATTGTGTAGTGTTACTATATGGATGTTTGTTATGCTTATTATATTTTTCAACTTTGTTTTCTTATTGAGGAAAACTGTAATCGGTGTTTTTATGTATGGGAAAAAAGCAACTGCTCAGTTTCCTTTAGAATTCGCCTCATTGTTTGTCTGCTTTCTGCTATTAACTTTTCCTTAACTTTGGCAACCCTTATATGCCTGTTTTTGAGACAAATATTTATTATTTCCATTTCCATTAAAATGTAACCAAGCTTGGTGTTTGTCAGATGGTGTTCCGCTGTAATCCTTTAAAATATAATGCTTTGAGAAAGGAATGCGGAGAGTTCCTTAAACCTGCTATGAAGGTTGTGGGTTTGGTGGGTAACATTGAAGGTATGGATTTACAGCAGGTTCTTGAACAAGCATCGAACTGGCAGGTATATTTAGTGCTACATTATTGGTGATTTTTCATTTAACGTAGTGTGGTAAATTTTCTTTCTATGCTGATGATAACTCTCTGGATTTCTCAGGCAACAGCGACCTCTTTTATTGACCGATTATCAGATGAATATAAGGATTACATTGATGTAGCTCAGCCATTTCAAGTCGCAGTATATGAAATGAAATTGGGCCTGTCGCTGGTCCTATCTGTTGCCTTGCTCAAGAAGGTTCTGAGTAGAATCAAAGAGGATAGTGTGGATAGAGTCATGGTATTCTAAATTATCGTCCCTTATTAGTCCATTTTAGTATACTTTTCTTTGTCAAACTTCATTCATTTGCTTCTAATGCCTGACTTGGAGAATATGGCAGGAATCAATTTATTTGTTTATGAGATTCCCTCGAGTATATGCATTCGAGTCAAGTTTTTCTCACATCATAGGCAGTCCTGCAAACTTTTGGGAACTGGAAATGGGTTTGCTGGAAAAGCTGGTTTTCGTTTCAAGTGATGTCATTACTGAAAAAATGGTATGTATTTCTACATGACTTGTCCTGAGAGAATGTTTACATTGCAGATTTTCTTTTCATCTAGCTGTCGAACTGTTTCTCTTTCATTGCAGTTCGGTCCTTGTAAACTTGTTTCTTTCTCTTTTTTCCTGTTTATTTACTATTATGTCTTCTTTCAATGTTCCTTTTAATGTACCTTTTTTATGGAATACTTTATTGATTTGCTCATATGCTTTCCATCGGTAACAGGGCTCTGTCTTGCAACTCAAAACTGGTCTGAATCAGAATATTGTTGTCCGTGTTGCACAATCTGTTGCTGATGCACAGAGAATCGATGATGCTTCGTTCAAGGTGATATTTCTTTCAATAATCGAGTTGAATACTTTTGAGTTTACTTGTGCAAGACAGTCCTCTGATATCTCAGCATATTTGTGAATCAGATATTGGATAAGATGTTCCATGAATTTGCCAGCATGTGGATGAATATGAAAGTTCAAGTAAAAAGCAAAGAAGGTCTTGATGCTCAACAATACAAGTTCAGGCCTCGGGCCTTTAAGATCAAAAGCATTGTTGATGTTGATTTTTCTACTCTCAACCAATTCTTTCCAAATGATAGCTTTTCAGAATGGCAGGAGCTGCTCTCTGAAGAGGAATCTTTGGAAAAGGTTATTTTTCTTCTTTTTTATCTGTTTTTTTTTCCTTATCTTTCTCCCTTCCCTTCTGATTGTCAAAGTATTTTGTTCTTCATTTCATCAGGTGGAAGCTAGCAATGAGCATGAGAGTGTAGAGGATGAATGGAACCTTATGCATGAAACTATCTTGAAGAATATGATCTGCATACACAACCAATTATTTGGGTCCACCAATCTTGTTCTATATGTAAGTGGTCTTCATATGTTTTTCTTGATCTTCAGTTGCTATGACTAGAATGTGCATTTTTGTCTAAATGCATTTGACATCTGTAAGAGTGTTGCATGCTTCATTTTTCCTGGTCATTGAATCATATAATGCTGCAAAACTGCCATTCACGTTCCCAAAATGATGTAATTTGTTTTCTATATGCATCTCCTTTTTAATCATGCTCCCTTCCAAACATTCTGGTCATATGCTTTTACTGATATTTAATTTATTTTCAGGCTGGAAGTTTCCATCTGTCCGATGCTGATAGGCTGCTTTCATTCACCAACTCTTACACATTAGGGTTGGGGATGATTGAAGGTGATTAACAATTTACACCTTCTCTTGGCGTATGTATGGTGTTTTGCTTATTGTCAGTTTGTCATGTATTCTTTTCATTTCCAGGGTTAGGAGGTCTGCTGACTTCCAGTTTGGATGGTAAACTCGTGCCTGAGCATTTACTTCGCCTTTGTTTGGAGCATCATTCAAAATTTGTCTCATCTCATAAATCATTGACCAATTACAATTTTTATAAGGTTCTGAAATTTTTTATACCTTTTTGCATCAAATAGTAGTTATTCCATCTATTCCAGTTCATGTTGCATTTAATGTAACCAATATTTTTCCACTTTCCTAGGATTCAAATGCACCTGTGATGGCTAAAATGGTAAAGTTAGTTACTACTCTTCAAAAGCAAATTCATAGCCTTTTGAGCGAGTGGGAAGATCACCCTGGTCTCCAAAAAATCATGGATACCATTGAAATGCTTTTGGCTATTCCCTCGGAGGCCCCCCTTGCCAAGGTAGCAAATATAGCTTACTCTTTCTGTTTATCTAGATAATTTTTTACTATAATTGAGAGAATTGAACTGGAAAGTGGATTATCAGGCAAGTTTGCGTTGTGATGAAACTAAAAGGAAACTAAATGCTTACGTGACACTATATATAATTTTTTATGCAACTATATAAGATCTGAAGGCCTGTCTAGTTTAAGTAGTTGGAGTGGATTGATTTCTATGATTCAACTACCAAGGTTCAAGCTTAACTTGCTGTCAAAATATTACTATCAGAACCCTATTTAATGCTTGGATCTGTCTACATGAGTATGTCTCAGCGTGCTTGTGTTTTTTGGGGTGGGCTTCTTTGTGTTTGTGTAACATTGTCGTTTCTTTTATCCTTAAATTTAAGAAAAGTGATTTTTTTTTTCATTTTTTTTTAATAATAATAATAATTATTATTTTTTTGCATGAAGGCTCTTTTGGGATTGCAATTTCTACTCAACAGGGCCAGAGAATTACAGGAAAATGAATCAAAATTCCGTCTCTCTGGTGGGCAATTCTCCTTGTGTACATGTCTTTGTTATCTGTTGCAGCTACACTTGATATGCATACTTTTATTTATATTGACAATGTTATTGTTTGTAAATGCAATTCTTATTCTTATCCTGGCAAGTAGATCTATTGGAGCCTATTTCTGCTCTGGTATGCTCATGGCAAAAAATGGAATTTGACTCATGGCCTGCTTTGCTTGAAGAAGTGCAGGATCAATTCGACATTAATGCTGGAAAGGTAAGTTGTAGTCTGTTGTTGCAGTTACAGTGGTTGTGGAACAATAGAAACTAAGAGCACATGACTGGAGCTTTAAGGGAAAATAGTATGGAAGAAATTGTATTTACAATATCTGAACTTGGATGTCCGTAATTGGACCTGAGGGTTGCTTATGTAATTACTGTGGAACTTATCCTAAGTTTATAACAAAATCTAAGGCTTGTGATAGCTAGTTCTGCTCTAAATATCACGAGTTTCTGCAGAGCCGTGGCATTGAAAATTTTGGATTAAACTGGAGGGGTCCATGTTGATAAGATGCTTCTTTTGAATAATACCAAGCATTTCAGGCGTCAGTAAAAGAATTAGGCACAACATAGTGCATTACAATTACGCCTATATGCTCTGTTGTTATCTTCTCTGCCACGCTCACTGCATATTTTTTTTCTTCTTGCAGTTATGGTTTCCTCTATTTTCAGTTTTGCATCACAGTCATTCTGCTGATATTGCTAGATATGAGCAATCTACTATAGAAAGGCATGTACTAAATATCACGTACAAATTTTGATTGACTTACTTTTCTTCAAATTCTTCTGATTCTGTTCCATCTGAATCCTTTGATCAACACAATTGGATCTTGCAGTTTGGAGGAGTTCATCCAAACTTCCAGCATTGGTGAATTTAGAGCACGTCTTCAACTTCTTTTTGCTTTCCATGGTCAAATCACTGCTGGCAGATGCTTAGAAGTGCAAAATTATTCAAGGTAAAGCATGTCTGTGCACATCGGTGTTCTGAGGAAGTTGATATTTCACTTTTATAGTACAGATGTCGTTTTTCCCTCCTTTATGTGATTATGCTAGGCTATACTATAGCTAGCATGTTGCTTTATGCCTGATAAACAATGAGTGCACTGATTATAAATGAACCTTGCAGTCCATTGCAGGAAAAAAATCTACAGATTCTCTATAATGTTTTTGGATACTACATTCAATTCTTGCCAAGGTGAGTTAATTGTTGGGAATGATTTTCAATATTGGCTTAAAGGTGCCCACTTGTGCTCGAATTAGTCCAGAGCAAGCAACTTTCAGAATTGCCTTCCTCAGCTATTTTTTTCTTTCAAATTATGTGCTTTCATTAGTTTTTTTTATAGGATTGCATCCATTTGTTAATAGATTTTTGCACACGTGATTATCAGAAATATATTTTACAAAGAATTTTTTTTTTTAGAAAAATGAACTCCATTTACCAACATGAATAAGTATCATTAAGGTTGCTCATTTCTGTTAATTTTGTATGAAACTCGGCTTAGATTAATGGAAGAACTCGATTTAAATAGGAAAATAGTTGAAGGAGGTTGATTCCGAAATTTTTAGTTCAAGTACTAATTTTGCCTTGAGCAAATGTTCAGGCGGGAGTGGGTACCTTTAGCCTTCAATATTTGTCCTCTTTTAGAAATTCTTATGTGCTGTTTTTTGCTCACCATAATACTTTCTTCCTCAGAATATTGGAGGAAATTGACGCTAACAGAAGAAGTATTGAGATGGAACTGAAAGAACTTATGAAGCTCTGCCATTGGGAACGAACAGAGATTTGCTTGTCTGTTGAAAACGCAAAAAGGACCCGGCAGAAGCTTAGGAAACTAATACTGAAGCACACTGTAAGTAACATCACAGTTACCCTTTACACATTGCAATTTCTTTGCATGCTTGTGGTTCCTTTTGGGAGAAAGTGAAAATTTTGAGAAAAGCTTGCCTTACATGAAGTAATTTAAGGTCTTGATGACCTAAACAAGCATAGCAGCACGTAGAGCCTGTTTCTATTCCTTATGTGGCAATGACTAATTCAAATCAAGCTGGTCTTGTATAATTATAGTATAAAAGCTGGTCGTGTATAATTATAGTATAAACACTATAATGATTTATTTGGTGATAATGAAAGTCAATAGGAAGTCTTACACACTTTTTTCTTTTTAACATCTCATATTTGTGATTGAAACACAAACGTAAATTGGGCTGGTTATGTATAATTGTTTCTCAAGCAGTGCAGTTTTGGTTACATTAGTTTAAATGTTCCTAATTGCATTACTTTATATACTTGTGTTCACTTTAAGAGAGCTCTTGTCCCTTAATTTCCTCTAAGCTTTGTGGCTTTTGCCTGCATACTAATTTTTGAAACTTCATTTCTGTATTCTTTTTTCTACTCTGATAAAATCTTAATCTGGTCACCTTGTCGCTTATGATGGGGAAAATAAAGAACACTTGTGATTTTGAGGTCTGTTTTTTCCGTCATAATCTAATGGGTTTTTATATGGTGTATAAAGGAAACTAGATGCAATTCTGTGATGGTGAGAACCTTCAAAACATGTGTTACTATTTTTGAGCATGTGAATATTGTAAAGAACGGTTGATTGAAAATTGATCAAATTACATAAAAAAATTAGGCAACAATGTATTAGTGGAAGAATTTCTACTGCAATTTTACTTTCTTTTGATTGCCTTTCTTATGTTCCCTACAATTGATAGACGCAACTATATTGTAAAACATAGCTGCAATTGGTAGCAACAGAAGCATTTTGGCCAGTTTGAAAGCATGTGTTAGATAATTATGTTCTCATCTGTTTGTTGGACAGGATTTGCTGCAACAGCCGGTAATGCTTGTTCTTAACCGAGAAGCAGAACAGAAAGGACAGAAAATTCAATCTCTGCAATGCTCAAGGCCCTTGAAGGATAACAAGGATGCTGTTTCAGATCTGACACAGTTCTATGAAAAAGATAGGTTAGTTTTTTTCCACTATGCAACCTCTATTTGATAGTCATTGATGCTTGTCCTGCTCTTTGAACTTTACTATTTTGTTTTTGGTGCAGGTCTATATGGTTAGCTGATTGGAGGAAAAAAGTAGCTGATACCATGCAGGACTTGCACTTCAAAAACACTCTGGGATCAAGTTTTCTGGATGATGAAGGTTTTTTTCTTTTTCTTTCCCCAGCTGTTTTGTGAATGTTATCCTATTAGCTCAAAGTAATATTGTCAAGCGCAAGTATCTTAAGAACTTACAGTTTGTGCAGATGTCACAAGTATCAACGGACAATGCTTAGCTTCCCATTCTTCACACCTATTACACCATGAACAGTGGAATGTTTTGTGTCATATGGTGGAGAAGATATTTAAAACTACTATGGACTGTGATGATTTCTGGAATGACACCACAAAAGGTGTAGGGAAGAAAAGGGCTTTGTCTGAACTTCTAAGGTTATTAGAAAGCAGTGGGTTGCACAAGCACAAATTTGAAATTATGAAGGTAGAAAGATTGGTTTTTCTTATGCTTATTCTGACTGTTATTGTTGAAGAATAAGATGGGTTAATTGTTTTTCCTTACAATGATGGTGCTTCATAGATATCCAATAGCTCCAACTGGTTGTTTGTTCAACCATCATACGATGCACAGCATTTGTTGCTGACACCAAGTAGACTATCTTGCGGAGCTTCTGATGTTTCTACTTCTGGTGAATTGAAACATTTCCCTGATGAAGATGTGGATATAAAGTGGAAAACAGCCAATGAGTTTTACTTCAAAAGTGTAGCATCTGTGCAGTTTATGCAAAGGATATGTCTGAAACCCCACGGAGATATTACTTATGATCAGGTACATTTCTGTGGCTGGATACAAGTTAAAGTTCCAATATTTTTTGGTTTACTTGTGATCAAGTTGTCCCTGTTTTTCTGATCTGCCTGCTTGGCATTTTTCATGTAGCAGGATTAGTTATTCATTATACTGTCTGTATCTTGTTAAGCTACATCTCTTCAATTCCTTAAATATTGTCAAGATTTTGGATGCATTTTTACGTGTTTGACATGGTTTTTATTTCTTGATCCATGCAGGTTAGTAGGGCAGTTTCGTTTCTTAACCATCTCATTGTTATACAACAATCACAACGTGAAGCTGCCTATGGTTTTTCTAAGCAATTGATGTGCCTGCGGGAATGTATCTATGCTTTTGAAAAGTCGTATTTCAAGTGCACTGACATTGATAACAGAAGTAGCAGTGAGTGCTCGATCGTACGAAACCAGCATGTATTCTTTCAGTGCATGTGGAAACAAAAGGTAAATTTTCACTTATAATATCACTTGCACTTGCATGTACTTTTTCCCTTCAGGTCTGAGTTTGTTCTTGCTCATTTTCTTCTTCTTTTAAATTTTTTTGCAGCAACTTTTTGATGGTTTAACTACTTTGCTGGCTGAGGAATCACTGTTGCTGAGAACAGTGGAAAGCAACCATTTGAAGTCTTGTCAAAGCATCAGACCTGCTGCAAATCGTGTTCTTCAATTCATTGAAAAATATATTCCAGTTATAACGAAATCCAAGGTGCAAAAGTTTTCACTTCCTATTCTGTCATTTAAGCATGCGAGATTTTGCATTATTCTTATGGGTAGTCTTTTACAGGCGTCATTGGATAACTACCTTCTTGGCCACCTTGGAGGTCTGCAAACTCTTCTACAGGAGTCATTGGCTAAATCTCTTCTTGGCCGTGTTGGTGCTATATCTGCTGGACCCTCACGCCCTTATGTTATTTCAAAACAAATGGAACAGTTAGTGTATAAAAACTTCCAAGTCATTAAGGAGTTTGCAAAGCACTTCTTTGATTTCCGAAAGCAAGACTGGAATAGAAGCTTCGTCATAGAGGCTCTGCTTGGTCATTTTGATGACATATTCAAAGAGGTATCTTATCTCTGTTTAATGACACTGATTAGAAATGAAGTTAGTTGGTACTTGGTGATATGAACAAATTTCTTGCAAATTTGTGGCAGTGAATGTAGCCTTTGACAAAATGAATGAAAAATCCAACTTGTTGCAGGGTAAGTTGTTGGTCGAGCAGCTTGAGTCTGCTGTTAAGCAAAGGAGTCGGTCTACAGATTTATGTGGAGAGGTCGACTACAACATCGGAAATAACTATCAGCTTGAAGCTGAGTTTGACAGAGCCCTCAAAAAAGCATATGGCCTTCTTATGGAGGCTTTGAAAAATCAAAGTTCCCCAGTTGATGGAGGTGCTCTCTCTGAAGAATCAGGGGGAGTATTTCTTCGTGGGAATATTTATTTAAATCATCTGTGCAAAGGTTGAATATGGAAGAATTATGTGATATGCTTCTCAATACGTTAAGTTGTGCGGTATGTTATCCTATCACCTATTTGTACAAGTCAGATATATGTTAGGTCATTTCTATTGCCTTCTCATCTCATGTAATCTGCTTGATCAGAAAAAACTGGTGGATCGTTCTGGCAGTGAAACTTCCCATATTTCTTCTCACATTGGAAGGTGTTTTGAGCATCTTCATTTGCTTTTGGAGCTATTACTGGGTTTCTGTGATGGATTACTTGAAGATCTTTTAACCATGCATAAAACAGTAAGTTTGGATCTTTAACAGTCTCACATTTTACCTCTATGAAAAATGCTTCTCTTAATTTATTGGTCACATCGAAAATCTGTGCCATGTTTTCAATGGTAACTGTTATTGGCATCAATCTGACTCTCGTTTATTTTGTGACCTATTTTTGAATACAGGTATCTATAACGACCAATGAGCTGGCAAATGTTTTAGCTTCATTGTTCTCCAAGGGTTTCGGCATTTCTGTCAAGGATGAGGTAGATGAAGGTAGCCATGATACATCTCAAACTGCAAGTGGAACTGGCATGGGGGAAGGTTCTGGGCTTAAAGATGTCAGTGATCAGATAACTGACGAAGATCAACTTCTTGGAACTTCTGAAAAGGCATGTACTCTGCTTAGATGTCTGCATGAGTTTTTAATTTTATGGTCTTTTCTTTTTTTCAACTGTGCATTGTTAATGAAATTTTCTTTATTATGCAACTTCAGCCAGGCGAAGAACAAGATGCTTCAGGTGAAGTTCCAAATAAGAATGAGAAAGGTATTGAGATGGAGGAGGATCTTATGGCTGATACATTTAGCGTGAGTGATGACTCTGGAGAGGAAAATGATGAAGATGGTGAGGATGAGCAACTGGATTCTGCAATGGGGGAAGCTGGAGCAGACAGTGAAGTCGTTGATGAGAAACTTTGGAATAAGGATGAAGATGATAATCCTAATAACACAAATGAAAAATACGAATCTGGCCCATCAGTTGGGGACAATGATACAAGTAGCCGGGAGCTTAGGGCCAAGGACGATTCTGCTGCTATTGCTGATGATGAACCTGGAGAACCTGATAAAAAAAATAATGATGTTGGAAGCCAGGACGACCTTGATGAGAGAGAAGAGAGTACAGATGACATGAATATGGATAAGGACGCAGCATTTACTGATCCAACTGGATTAAAGCTTGATGAATCAAATCAAGGTGCTGAAGAGGATATGGATACGGATAAGGACATGAATGAAGAAGATGGCTTGGATTCGAGGGAAGAATTAAGTCCAGAAGACGGTGATGAGTCCGCTGAGCATGGAAACTTCGAGGAGGACAATGCAAATCCTGATGACGAAACTATGGAAGAACCAGATACTGAACCAGTTGATGGAACTTCAGTAAATGATGAACCAGGGAGGGATAGAGAAGAAAGATCTGAGATCAACACAACAGAACCAAGAAAAGATGAATTTGAACTTGGAATTTCTGATCTAAATAGCGATCATGCGCATGGTGTGGAATCTGCAACACAACCAAATAGTGTCTCCCAGGCATCTGATTCAAAAAATGTGACAGTGGAAGCAAACATGTCTAACACAAGTGAAGCTCATAATGACCTTGCTCTCAGAAGCTTACCTTCTGGTAATACCTCTGAGATGGATTTGATGGTGTCTGATTCATCAAACAGTGGAGGATTTAATAATGATCAACAGCAAGCTCAGTTCCCTGAGAGGGAATTATCATCTGATCAGAGAACCCAACCAAACCCTTACAGAAATGTTGGGGATGCGCTTGAGGAGTGGAAGGAAAGAGTCAAAGTATCTGTTGACCTTCCGGCAGACACCACTGAGGAGTCAGGTGAGATAGAGGACAAGAATGCCAATGACTATGGCTTCGTCCCTGAGTTTGAAAAGGGAACAGATCAGGCATTGGGACCTGCCACCTCTGAGCAGATTGAGTCCAATGTCAATGTAAATAAGAGTGATGAAGATAGTCTCGCTGCCCAAAGAGGTGAAGCCACCAAGATGGATGTTGAGAAGAGAGATTCTGAAGAATGGCATAAAAAATATTCTGCCTCAATCCTCAAAAATAAGATGGAAGAGCAGTTGCAGATCTCGGATGTTGAGAACTTAGCGAAGGAGGGATACCCTGAAGTTCAGGGTCATGATGATGGTGATCCAGAAAATCTGTCTGAGAGTGTGATCTCTGTCAAGAAGCCTTATTTGAGTGAGGAAATATATCAGCTGGACAATCTTTCTGTAGATGACAATGAGTTGGGAAAAGCCCAGGGTCCTGAAGATGTTCCCCTTGACGTCAAAAGTAGTGCTGCTGCCCTTTGGAGCAGATACGAGTTGCGCACAACAAGGTTGTCCCAGGAGTTGGCTGAACAGTTACGCCTTGTTCTGGAACCTACTATAGCCAGTAAACTTCAAGGAGATTATAAGAGTGGCAAACGGATTAACATGAAGAAGGTAAAGCACATTCATAATTGGTATTGGATCTTGTGTACTTGATTTGCTCTTATTTTTCACTGATGTTCTTTGCTGTGCCTGGAAACTTTTAGGTAATTCCTTACATAGCAAGTCACTACCGGAAAGATAAAATATGGTTGAGACGAACTCGGCCTAACAAACGTGATTACCAAGTTGTCATTGCTGTGGATGATTCTCGTAGTATGTCTGAGAGTAGTTGTGGGGATGTCGCAGTTGAAGCTTTAGTGACAGTATGTCGTGCCATGTCTCAACTGGAAATGGGAAACATGGCTGTTGCGAGTTTTGGAAAGAAGGGAAATATAAGATCCCTGCATGATTTTGATCAGCCCTTCACTGGGGAAGCTGGGAGAAAGGTTAGTGTTCTGACCATTGGATATCTTTAAATTTGAGTTGAAAGACAAAAATGAAAGTTGTTCTTATCAGTTTTGTTTTGTTTTTCTCAATTCTATGCTTTAGTTAAAAGACTTAATTCATTTTCTGGTTGGAGCAGATCATCTCCAGTTTGACATTTAGGCAAGAGAATACCATTGCCGATGAACCTGTTGTTGATCTGTTAAAGTATCTAAGCAACATGCTGGATGCTGCAGTTGCAAAAGCACGACTTCCTTCTGGACAGAACCCGCTGCAACAGCTTGTCTTGATTATTGCAGATGGTCGCTTCCATGAAAAGGTACATTTCCTTTTCCTAGCAATTCAAGTAGGGGGAAGAACAAAGGGAAAGTAGTGTATCTTAGATGGTGAATGTAACATTAGCTATTTAGCCGTATAATTTACAGAAGCTGGCCATGTAAATGTATACAGGAGAAATTGAAGCGTTGTGTGAGGGACTTCTTAAGTCGGAAGCGAATGGTGGCATTTCTTGTGCTGGACAGCCCGCAGGAATCTATCATGGACCAGATGGTAAATCTTTACTTTGTTTTCTAGAAACTGACATTCACAACCTTTGGACTAGCATTTCCTCTATTGGCTAATGCATATTCATCTTTTTGTGGATGTGTTTATCTGGTCTCCAGGAAGCATCATTTGTGGGTGAAGGTGAAAAAAGAGCACTCAAATTTACAAAATACCTGGATTCTTTTCCCTTTCCATATTATATTGTACTGAAGAACATCGAAGCTCTTCCAAGGACCCTTGCCGATTTATTAAGACAGGTAAGCTCATTTTATCGAATGATTATACTGCCTCTTTTTTTTTTTTTTTTTTCTTTTCCTAATCTTGATAGGGAATATTTTATTGCAAGCGCTGACATTTTCTATTGTGTTGACTTGGGTCTTTTCCTCTGTGGTGGCAGTGGTTTGAGCTCATGCAGTATTCAAGGGAATGAAGCTTTTCCTTCTGATAGGCTTGGTATAGTAACTAGGATATTTTTTTATGTACATACGAGGTACATAGTTCCTGCAAGAGAATTATTTTGAGGAAGGTGGCTTCATGACAAGGATAGATACAGATGATGTTGAGGTACAAATACAACTATTGGGATACAATTGCTGTATTGTAGTTGTGGACATCTTACAAGTTCTTAAGGCAGTCATAATGCTGAATATCACCATCATCCATGGAAAAATCAATTTCTCCTTTGTTATGCATGCACCTACCAATTTGCTGTGATTGATCAAGAGGTGCCAAAAATGTCCATCGAAATTTGTTTGTTTCGAATTTTGATGTCTTTCTCATTATTTATGTCCCACCAAGCTTCTCACGTTCCCCATACTGTCAGGAGTCAGGACTGGTGCATTTTTCCTTTCGTGGAAATTCTTTTGGGAGTTCCAAAAAACAATCTGTGATTTTTATTTTATTTTATTTTAAATAAATAGTTATTGTTAGGAAAAAAAATTGAGGGAGGAACTAGGGAACATGGTGTAACACAACTCATTTTTTTATATTACTCTGTTTAAAAAAGATTCTGTATTTTTATTTATATGTACACAATATTTGTTTGATCAAACTTTTATGTGGTGTATTTTTTTTTTTTTTTTTATGTTACTCTTAATTAATGTTGGTTTTATGTCTTATTAGATTAAACTTGTTGACTAATAATTTGAAAAAAAATATATTTTTTAGAAAAGTACGAACTCTATCTTAGGATTGGACTTAGATTCCAATACTTCAGGCCGTATATTTATTTATACTAATTTATGAATAATTCCATATAAACACATCATTAATTGTTTGCATATATATATTGAAGAATAGAATGATCATATGAAGAAATCACTTATATTTTTTTTAATTCCAATATCTATGAGCAAGCGAAAAATAAAATATAAGCCATGTCTCTTTCGTATTAAGTGGAGGGTTCAGTTTTATCAAGTAATTTAAGGCGAGTGGAAATTACGCAGAAGTTTCCTTTGACTCCACCGAAAAATAAAAAGCCCAACTGTGTTGACTGCTGACCCCATTAATAGGGAAGGAAGGATCCTATTCTGGTGGAAAAAAAAAGGCAACTGTTTGAATAAAACGAAAAAACAAAATAGAAATTTGTCACTTGTCCCTTCAAAGTACACGAAGGAAGAAAATTCAGAGTCAGTATTCAATTAAGGTTACTTGTCAAGCAATACTTCTAACAAAAAAAAAAAAAAAAAATCATCTCTCTCTCTCTCTCTACACGCATATGGAATTCAATTTTATCTAATTAGTTTTGGAAGCCAATAGAAATGGCTCTGGTCAAAACAGACCGACCCATAGTACTCTCGACCTCAACTAGTGATACATGCTGACATGGTATACATATAAATTCGAAATTATATACATATACACACACACACACACCACCTCCCATGTCCGGTCAATATTCAAATAGTTGCAAAGAAAAATTAAGCCTTCATGGAGATGGCGTCCGGTCATGAAGATCTCACAAAGAGATTATTTGAAGCATCCATAAGGGGGTGTGTAGCCACTTTAGATATATTGCTCCAAAAAGATCCACTCCTTCTTGATAGAATTTCCCTCACATCCTCCATTGAAACGCCTTTACACATATCATCTTTGCTTGGTCATGTTGACTTCACTGGATCTCTTCTTCTTCACAAACCAAAACTCACAGCTGAATTGAACTCACAAGGACAGTCTCCCCTTCACTTGGCTTCTGCTGAGGGCTACGTCGAGATTGTAAAAGACTTGCTAAGTGTAAACGCTCAAGTTTGCTTGGTCTTTGATCAATTTGGACGAATTCCTCTCCACTTGGCAGCCATGAGAGGACGAGTAGATGTCATGCAACTGCTGATCAGTGCATGCTCCACATCAATCCAAATGAAATCAAAATATGAACAACATACTGTTTTGCACTTGTGTGTTCAATATAACCATTTAGAGGCTCTTAAAGTGTTGACAATGCGAGGGAATGTTGATGGGGAGTTTCTCAATTCAGCAGATACGAATGGCAACACCATCCTGCAATTGGCTATGATGATGCAGCAAGTCGAGGTATGTGATTTTTATTCACTGGAGTTTATAAATTATATACATCTTGATGTCAAAAAATCACCTAGGATGGAACACATATATGAAGTAGATCGGTGTTGTTGATTCTGTTATATTTTCCAAGTATGAGATGGAGTCAGTTGGCCTAGAGCAAGAGTTTTTATACGAAATTATGTCGTTGAAGGCGTTTGAAATTGAACTCGCTAAAAAAAAAAAAACAAACAGTTTCCATTTTCGAAATGCCAACTCTGTGCCACCGATGACATTGAGGTGTATATTTTGTGCATGCAGACCATAAAATACTTGGTTTCCATACCTGAAGTGAGAGTGGAAGCAGATAACTTGGCTACAATTTTCACAAATCCATTAAGTTTTGATAGCAAGTCCATTCAAGAGCACTGTAGTATTGCAGAACCTAAATCGATGCGTATAAAAAGACCATCAAATTATCAAGATGCAGCCTCACCTCAACCCCAAGTTCTGGTTCACGATGAAGCTCAACCAGATATATATAATCATTTGATGAATTATCTAGACTACCAAGGTAACTGGATGGAAAAGACACGGGGTAATCTGATGGTAGTGGCTACTGTGATTGCATCCATGTCTTTCCAAGCTGTGATAAACCCACCAGGTGGAGTTTGGCAAGATGGTCAAAGCAATGATTGTCCAAATGGCAAACAGTGCAAAGTTGGAACTGCAGTATTGAGCTCAACAGATGAGTTAAAATACAACATATTCATAGCCTCCAACACCATCTCTTTCTCTGCATCTCTGGCCATCATTTTTCTGCTTATGGGTGGATTTACTCTCAGGAACAAGGCTGCAATGTTCATTATGTTGTTTGCCATGTGTACCACAGTGCTCTTTATTGCAGGCACATACCTAACCTCAATAATTTTGGTTGGAAATCCAGACGACAACACCATCGTCCAGATTGAATACCTTTATTTGATGTTTTGGGTTTGCTTGCCTGCTTTCATTATTGTGTACCAGATAGTTAGCTTTGTGGTTAGGGTTATAAAGAAACTGCTTATTGGTGCCTTTCATGTAATAATATATCCATTTCGACTCATGTTTCGTGTGCCAAGAGGTGGTCTGGCGACGGAGAAGCCAACAACCGGTGTTTGAGAACTACCAATAATTGTCAAGACGATGTTTATTTAACAACTATATGGTGATAGTGAATGATTTTCGAGTTCATAATCTATTCTGAAGACCACTAGCTTCTAGGATTTATTTATTTAAGGATTCCATCCTGAAATCACATAAAGATTGCTCCTGTTCCAGAATTGTGGCTTTTTGATCTATCCTTTTCTTTATTTCTGTATGCGTTTTATTATTGCTGGATTGTTGTTGATTTTTATTTTTTCTATTTAGTCTTTATTATCTGCGGTAGACTATTTAAAACTACTTTGTAGGTTGGTAGCCGTCACTTGTCTTTGAATTAAAATTACACACACACAGTTTCCTCACTATAACTTTTCATTTTATTGTTTTAAAGGATTTTAAGAATTAAAATACCTTATTATTCCGTCATACACGCCTTCTGTTTTAAAAAAAATTGTCATTTTTGTTTTTCTCATATTAAAATAGCCATTGATTGTTATGTGATGTTAATTTGTTTTTTTATAATCTTTTAATTAAAATACCACCATTTCAAGTATAAGGCTCTTACAAAGTGGACTTAAATTAAAAATATTAAAAAAAATACGTACTTAATATTCTAATTAAAACAATTGTTTTAGAACCAACGAACAGAAAAATCAACTCTTCGAAAGGAAGGAAGTAATAATTATTAAATAAAGACTAGAATATGATAATAACTAGTCTTTTCAATAGTCTTCATATTATTATTTTTTTTAAAAAAAAAAAAAAAACTTTGTTTGTTTGAAGGAAAGTTGCGCCAATGGAACTCCTCTTTCTTTGAAAATTTGAATATCAAATAAGATGATGAGACAGTAGTACGTAGGAAGTTGGAATCTTTATGGAGACACACAAAGGTAGGGTAAATTGATGTCGTTTGAGCGATAGAAATACTAAATTCTTCTGCTTGTCAACTTCTAATGATACTGCTCTTTCATACAAGAATTGAAATATTTTTGCTACTAAAGTAAAATGTTTTTTTTTTTTTGTTACGTTTTTCACAATCTCTTAACATTAATTATCATTTTATTTTTCTCATGCAATCCATAAAATCAATTAAAGCATGCTTTTTTCTTTTGTTTGAAACTCGCTTTTAAAAGTATAATAAATTTTTATTTAAAAATAAAAAATTTAAAGACAAATAAATTATTTTTTTAAAAAAAGAAATTCTTATGGAAAGTAAAAATTAATTAAGTACAGAATTATAAAATTACATAGAATTCTTATTTGAATTATTGATTTTGTTTTTTAATTTTAATTTAATAAAATAAAAGGTTAAAAACACACATTAATATGTTATTAATTGTACTTAAAATAAGACTTATATATTGTTAATATTCTATAATTACTATTTTTTAAGTGAAAGTCTGTTGACAAATAAATTTTAAAAAGCATATTATGAGTTAAGAAAAAAAATTTGTTGATTTTTAGCTCTTTCAAAATCACGTGACAAACTAAAAAATATATAAATGCTATTGATTCTTTACATATATATGCAAACCGATTTAATTTATTTGAACACATTAAATACATATAGAATTTAATTTCCATTTATTTGAATTCTAATATGATTTGTATTTAACAAACTTAAATAGTTTTTATTAGGTTTGCGGCAGCGTGGAGCACCAAACTAGTGTAAACTAAAACGCTGAGATGATTCAATCAGCACTAACAACCAATCAGAATTGGACAAGAATAAAAATAATACCAATAAGATGTTTGTTACATGAATTTGGCTGTAAAATAAACTGATTAATAGTGTTAAATTGCCCCTTTAATTACTATATATATATATATATATATATCCGTTAGAAATATTTATCAAATTCTTTCATCATCTCTGGCCTGCATTAATTGATCTTCTCATAAATATAGTGTTTAGGTCATAAATACTTATACTTTTGCTAACTGCATTATAAAAATAAGATGTTGAAGTTGAGATTTGTAAGCACTGCAAGCAATATTGGAATTACAGGTTCCTTATAGATGAATGTACTTTGTTTCAAGAACATATATGTAAGTTTTTTTTTTTTTTTTTTCCCTTCAGGTATCCCTATTTCATGTTGGAGATAAAACTAATTACCTTATACCATGACCAGGTCAACTAGAAATATCAAGAATACTAGTTATACTAATTTTCATTTTGCTGTTCTTTATTGCATCCACATGCATAACCTCAATGATCAGTTTGGTCAAAAACCCAGATGACAACACTGTCAGTGACATTAATATCCTTTATAAACTGTTTTGGGTTGGCTTGCTTGCATTCATTGTTGTGTTCCAAATAGTTAGCCTTGTGGTTAGGGTTCTAAAGAATCTGCTTTAATTATCGGTGCCTTTCATGTAATAAGATATCCATTTCAGCTCATGTCTCATGCGCTAAAAGGTTGTTCTGCAATTGAGCCGCCAGCAACTGGTGTTTGGAAATGACCAATTTGCCAAGATCATGCATGTTTATTTAACAACTACATTGTGAGAGTGAATAATATTTTGTCTATTCATAATCTGTGTGACCAGTAGAGATGAGTCAAGTATACATACCAATACCTAGTACTAACTCTAACATCCAACAAACTACCTATTACAGTACTGCTTTAAGATTTTAACCACAGACCAGCACTTAATTAGGGTAACAAACAGTCTACACTTGGAATTGTAGGACCATGTTTTCCATGAGCATTGAAGCAGGTGGATTTAGTGACTATCCCACGACTTGCAGATGTTATATTGATGTCATTGAGCACAAGATTAGTGCATCCAATGCTTTGACTGCACTTGAAGACTTATACTATCATCCGAGATTGATGTCCCATGGACATTAGTATAAGTAATATCGCTAATTTAAACTGCTGATGTCTGCCACAAGAGAAGAAATAGACGATTAATTTCTCGAGTAAATGCAATACAAATAAGCACAAGATATCAGATTAACTAATCCTAATGGCTACAAACAAAACAGGAATGAAAATAGGTTCAAGAACTAGTACGATCGATCGGTGAAGGAATATATATCTCATAAAACGAAATTTATCCCTACTACAAATATTCAATAATACGTAATTCTAAAGCACTTAAAATGGGAGATTGGGGTTACCTCATTTTTGCACACTGGTGGATGTCGATCACAATAAAACTGGTCAATGATAATAGGTTTGCTAGCTCCCTCCAGTGTAACTCCATCATAGGAAATCTTCCTGGCATACCCATGACCTCCCTGGAAGAGCAAGGGAACATTAAATTAAATATATCAAAATCAATATAGCGATTAAGTCATTAATTAATTAATTTATTTATTTTAATCTTTGTAGATAGTTGGGTATTTTCGAATTAGTTTCGTATCAATAGAAATTAAGTTTATTATATTTTTAAAATAGATCAATGTCATTGATTTTAAAAACTGAATTCATTTAATGATTAAGTCATTAATTAATTAATATATTCAATTAGCTTGAGTACCTGCCATGTTTTAATTCTTAATCCATTAGTTGCTCCAGCTTTGAAGCTAACATCCTTGACATGTGCTTCTTCCACAATGTCTGTAGATCCATCTTTTCCCAAGCTTCCAATACTGAAAGAATGATTTTTCGATCAGCCAAGAAATTGCCAAATTATTTTTATCTTCTGTAATTAACCTCTCTAAGAACATACATGGAAGGAAAATGAAAAATATTGCCCAGCTAGATGCTTAAAAATAAGAATAAAGATCAAGGGTTTGAAATCAAACCTTATCCCATGGCCTTGTCCGCATGCCACATTTCTACTGCTTTCATTTCTCACCCGTTTAATTCTCTATCTTTTCTTTTTGCAGTCGTTAGATTTTATCTCCTTTCTCTTTTTAATTTTTTTTATTTTATAAATTTGATTGGTTAAACAGAGATAATATAATATGAATAACCAATGAACTATTGCCACATGATCAGATCTTACCTCCAACAATCTTTAATTCATCAAAGGTAGACAATGACTCTCTCTCTCTCTCACTCACGCATATGGAATTCAATTTTATCTAATTAGTTTTGGAAGCCAATAGAGATGGCTCCGGTCATGACAGACTGACCCATAGTACTCTCGACCTCAACTAGTGATACATGCTGACATGGTATACATATAAATTCGAAATTATATATATATATATACACACACACATACCACCTCCCATCTCCAGTTCATATTCAAATAGTTGCAAAGAAAAATTAAGCCATCATGGAGATGGCGTCCGGTCATGAAGATCTCACAAAGAGATTATTTGAAGCATCCATAAGGGGGTGTGTAGCCACTTTAGATATATTGCTCCAAAAAGATCCACTCCTTCTTGATAGAATTTCCCTCACATCCTCCATTGAAACGCCTTTACACATATCATCTTTGCTTGGTCATGTTGACTTCACTGGATCTCTTCTTCTTCACAAACCAAAACTCACAGCTGAATTGAACTCACAAGGACAGTCTCCCCTTCACTTGGCTTCTGCTGAGGGCTACGTCGAGATTGTAAAAGACTTGCTAAGTGTAAACACTCAAGTTTGCTTGGTCTTTGATCAATTTGGACGAATTCCTCTCCACTTGGCAGCCATGAGAGGACGAGTAGATGTCATGCAACTGCTGATCAGTGCATGCTCCACATCAATCCAAATGAAATCAAAATATGAACAACATACTGTTTTGCACTTGTGTGTTCAATATAACCATTTAGAGGCTCTTAAAGTGTTGACAATGCGAGGGAATGTTGATGGGGAGTTTCTCAATTCAGCAGATACGAATGGCAACACCATCCTGCAATTGGCTATGATGATGCAGCAAGTCGAGGTATGTGATTTTTATTCACTGGAGTTTATAAATTATATACATCTTGATGTCAAAAAATCACCTAGGATGGAACACATATATGAAGTAGATCGGTGTTGTTGATTTTGTTATATTTTCCAAGTATGAGATGGAGTCAGTTGGCCTAGAGCAAGAGTTTTTATACGAAATTATGTCGTTGAAGGCGTTTGAAATTGAACTCGCTAAAAAAAAAAAACAAACAGTTTCCATTTTCAAAATGCCGACACTCTGCCACCGATGACATTGAGGTGTATATTTTGTGCATGCAGACCATAAAATACTTGGTTTCCATACCTGAAGTGAGAGTGGAAGCAGATAACTTGGCTACAATTTTCACAAATCCATTAAGTTTTGATAGCAAGTCCATTCAAGAGCACTGTAGTATTGGAGAACCTAAATCGATGCGTATAAAAAGACCATCAAATTATCAAGATGCAACCTCACCTCAACCCCAAGTTCTGGTTCACGATGAAGCTCAACCAGATATATATAATCATTTGATGAATTATTTAGACTACCAAGGTAACTGGATGGAAAAGACACGGGGTAATCTGATGGTAGTGGCTACTGTGATTGCATCCATGTCTTTCCAAGCTGTGATAAACCCACCAGGTGGAGTTTGGCAAGATGGTCAAAGCAATGATTGTCCAAATGGCAAACAATGCAAAGTTGGAACTGCAGTATTGAGCTCAACAGATGAGCTAAAATACAACATATTCATAGCCTCCAACACCATCTCTTTCTCTGCATCTCTGGCCATCATTTTTCTGCTTATGGGTGGATTTACTCTCAGGATCAAGGCTGCAATGTTCATTATGTTGTTTTCCATGTGTACCACAGTGCTCTTTATTGCAGGCACATACATAACCTCAATAATTTTGGTTGGAAATCCAGACGACACCACCATCGGCCAGATTGAATCCCTTTATTTGATGTTTTGGGTTTGCTTGCCTGCTTTCATTATTGTGTACCAGATAGTTAGCTTTGTGGATAGGGTTATAAAGAAACTGCTTATTGGTGCCTTTCATGTAATAATATATCCATTTCGACTCATGTTTCGTGTGCCAAGAGGTGGTCTGGCGACGGAGAAGCCAACAACCGGTGTTTGAGAACTACCAATAATTGTCAAGACGATGTTTATTTAACAACTATATGGTGATAGTGAATGATTTTCGAGTTCATAATCTATTCTGAAGACCACTTCTAGGATTTATTTATTTAAGGATTCCATCCTGAAATCCCATAAAGATTGCTTCTGCTCCAGAATTGTGGCTTTTTGATCTATCCTTTTCTTTATTTCTGTATATGTTTTATTATTGCTGGATTGTTGTTGATTTTTATTTTTTTCTATTTAGTCTTTATTATCTACGGTAGACTATTTAAAACTACTTTGTAGGTTGGTAGCCGTCACTTATCTTTGAATTAAAATTACACACATAGAGTTTCTTCACTATAACTTCTCATTTTATTGTTTTAAAGGATTTTAAGAATTAAAATACCTTGTTATTCCGTCATACACTCCTTCTGTTTTTAAAGAAATTGTCATTTTTATTTTTCTCATATTAAAATAGCCATTAATTGTTATGTCATGTCAATTTTTTTTTTTAATAACCTTTCAATTAAAATACCAAATTTCAGGTGTGTAAGTGTCTTACAAAATGGACTTAAATTAAAAATATTTTTTAAAAAATACATACTAAACATTTTAACTAAAACAATTGTTTTAGAACCAACAAACATAAAAGTCAATCTCTTCGAAAAGAAGGAAGTAATAATTATGAGGAATCTGTGTCTCATCTCCATCTCTATTGACATGAGATTTGGCCGTTGTGGTCTAAAATCTTTCGTTAGTGGGGTTGTTCATGGATTGTCCTTAAATCTGTGCACGATCTTTTTCAACAGTAAAGCTTTTATATTCATGAGCATATGTAAAAGAAAATGTGGTTTCTTGTTCTCTATTCAAGCCTATGATCGATCTGACTAGTGCGAAATGATCTTATTTTTAATGGTACCACTTCTGATTGGGACAACGTTCTTTCTTTGGTTTTTTATAAAGTGAATCATTGGGTTAGTTTGTCTATTATGGAAATGATCTTCTTATTAGCTCAAATAAAATCAAAAGATGAATAAATACTTCAAGGACTCATTGTTTGGGCTCATTGAATAGATAGTTCATTCTTTTATTGTTAGGGTCTAGTATTGTTGTTTTTAGAAATGTTGTTGTTTAATTTATCTTCTTATTTGTATTATAAATTGTTATTATAGCCACTTTCTTGTTGGCTCTTTTCTCTTTTTATATTGATCGACTTTTATCAAAAAAAAAAAAAAAAGGAAGTAATAATTATTAAATAAAGACTAGAATATGTTAATAACTAGCCTTTTCAATAGTCTTTATTACTATTTAAAAAATAATAATAATAATAAAAAAAATAAAAAAAACCATGTTTGTTTAAAGGAAAGTTGCGCCAATGGAACTCCTCTTTCTCTGAAAATTTGAATATCAAATAAGATGACGAGACCGTAGTAGGAAGTTGGAATCTTTATGGAGAGACACAAAGCTAGGGTAAATTGATGTCGTTTGCGCGATAGAAATACTAAATTTTTTTGCTTGTCAACTTCTAATGATACTGCTCTTTCATATAAGATTTGAAATATTTGCTACTAAAGTAAAATGATTATTATTTTGTTACGTTTTGCACAATCTCTTAACATTAATTATCATTTTATTTTTCTCATGTAATCCATAAAATCAATTACAGCGTACTTTTTTTTTCTTTTGATTGAAACTGGCTTTTAAAAGTATAATAAATTTTTGTTTAAAAATAAAAATGTAGACAAATAAATTATGTTTTTTTTAAAAGAAATTCATATGGAAAGCAAAAATTAATTAAGCACAAAATTCTGATGAAATAATATAAAAATAGAATTCTTATTTGAATTATTTAGTTTTTTTTTTAATTTTAATTTAATAAAATAAAAGGTTAAAAACGCACATAAATATGTTATTAATTGTAATTAAAATAAGACTTATTGTTAATATTTTAGAATTACTATTTTTTAAGTTAAAGTATGTTGACAAATACATTTTAGAAAGCATATTATGAGTTAAGAAAAAAACTTTGATGATGTTTAGCTCTTTCAAAATGCATGTGACAAACTAAATAAAAAAATATAAATGCTATTGATTCTTTATATATATATATATATATATATATATATATATCTGTGCGTGTGTGTGCAAACCGATTTAATTTATTTGAACACATTAATACATATAGAATTTAATTTCCATTTATTTGAATTCTAATATGATTTGAATTTAACAAACTTAAATAGTTGGAGATTTGTGAGCACTGTAAGCAATATTGGAATTGCAGGTTGGTTATAGATGAATGATCGACCTTTGTTTCAAAAGCATGTAAGTTTTTTTTCTTCAGGTATCCCTGTCTCATGCTGGAGATAAAACTAGTTACCTTATACCACAACCAGGTCCACTAGAAGCATCAAGAATAGTAGTTTTATTTAATTTCATTTTGCTGTTCTTTATTGCATCCACATACATAACCTCAATGATCAGTTTGGTTAAAAATCCAGATTACAACACTGTCACTGACATTGATATCCTTTATAAACTGTTTTGGGTTGGCTTGCTTGCATTCGTTGTTGTGTTCCAAATAGTTAGCCTCGTGGTTAGGGTTCTAAAGAATCTGCTTAATTATCGGCGCATTTCATGTAATAAGATATCCATTTCAGCTCATGTCTCATGCGCTAAAAGGTTGTTCTGCAACTAAACCGCCAGCAACTGGTGTTTGGAAATGACCAATTTGCCAAGATCATGCATGTTTATTTAACAACTACATTGTGAGAGTGAATAATATTTTGTTTATTCATAATCTGTGTGACCAGTAGAGATGAGTCAGGTATACATACCAATACCTAGTACTAACTCTAACATCCAACAAACTACCTATTACAGTACTGCTTTAAGATTTTAACCACAGACCAGCACTTAATTAGGGTAACAAACAGTCTACACTTGGAATTGTAGGACCATGTTTTCCATGAGCATTGAAGCAGGTGGATTTAGTGACTATCCCGCGACTTGCAGATGTTATATTGATGTCATTGAGCACAAGATTAGTGCATCCAATGCTTTGACTGCACTTAAGACTTATACTATCATCCGAGATTGATGTCCCATGGACATTAGTATAAGTAATATCGCTAATTTGAACTGCTGATGTCTGCCACAAGAGAAGAAATAGACGATTAATTTCTTGAGTAAATGCAATACAAATAAGCACAAGATATCAGAATAACTAATCCTACTGGCTACAAACAAAACATTAATGAAAATAGGTTCAAGAACTAGTACGATCGATCGGTGAAGGAATATATACCTCATAAAACGAAATTTATCCCTACTACAAATATTCAATAATATGTAATTCTAAAGCACTTAAAATGGGAAATTGGGGTTACCTCATTTTTGCACACTGGTGGATGTCGATCACAATAAAACTGGTCAATGATAATAGGGTTGCTAGCTCCCTCCAGTGTAACTCCATCATAGGAAATCTTCCTGGCATACCCATGACCTCCCTAGAAGAGTAAGGCAACGTTAAATTAAATATATCAAAATCAATAGACGGATTAAGTCATCAATTTTTTTATTTATTTTAATCTTATATATAGTTGGTTATTTTCGAATAAGTTTTGTCTGGAGCCAAACTAAGTTTATCATTTTTTAGAATAGATCAATATCGAATCACGTGTAACTTTTTGATTGATTTTAAAAACTGAATTCATTTAATGATTAAGTCATTAATTAATTAAAATATTCAATTAACTTTAGTACCTGCCATGTTTTAATTCTTAATCCACTAGTTGCTCCAGGTTTGAAGCTAACATCCTTGACGTGTACTTCTTCCACAATGTCTGTAGATCCGTCTTTTCCCAAGCTTCCAATACTGAAAGAATGATTTTTCGATCAGCCAAGAAATTGCCAAATTATTTTTATCTTCTGTAATTAACCTATCTAAGAACATACATGGAAGGAAAATGAAAAATACTGCCTAGCTAGATGTACCTTAAAAATAAGAATAAAGATCAAGAGTTTGAAATCAAACCTTATCCCATGGCCTGGTCCGCATGCCACATTAGTTATGTTAATGAATGATGAATTAGTACTAATGCAAATACAATCATCACCTACAAAAAAAAAAAAAAAGTAAATATAAATTAAACGAAATACTTGAAATTAAACTGCATGCAGGGCAATATTGATGATATATATATATATATATATGTACCAGTTGCAATGTTGGAGCCAAGAATTTGAACGTTGGTTGAGTGGCTAAGATCAATCCCATCTGTGTTAGGGCTTGAACCAGGGGCAGTTATATTGAGATTAGATAGGACTGAACCATCACCACCAACTACAGAAATATGAGCACCTGGACTATTGATATGTGTCAATCCGCTGAGTCGAAGATTTTTGCAGTCGACGAATGTCAGTGCCTAACCAAACACCAAACAATTAGAGTTTTATATAAATCATCACTGTTTGTTTTCCTTCACCTATATGTTATGCATTATTGCAGCTCAACTTAAGATCAAAAAAGCAAACGGTTTTAGCCTTTAAAAAATAATGATGAGACTAACTTTAATTTAGTGTTGCTCTCAACATGACAAATAATAATGAAAAAAAAAACAAATATTTTAACTTACAACGGGTCTTCGAGGGAGTTTGTTAGCTGCTCTCCACCAAAATTCACCTCGGCCATCAATTTGACCACTTCCTTTGATGACTAGTCCATTCACATGTGAAAGCTTAAGCCATGTGTCTAGCTGACGGCTTCCCCACTCTCGAAGGCTACTAGGCCCGACAATATTTCCATCAACCTGCAGTCATCTCGTACGTGAGCACAAACATTTGTCAATGTGATTTTCGATCAGAAATAAACATCGCAAAAATTGAAGAACGTTTTTTATTTTCATTAAACTAACCATCAATGGATTCAATCACCTACTCATATCGAGGGTATTTTTTCTTTAATTATATTACAGAAAAAAATAAAGTATATATATCTAGGTAAATATAAAGTACCTGGATAGTAATTGTGGAGGATTTGCATGGTCCATTGAACTCAACTGGTTTCAACTGGAAATTTTTTCCTTTTGGTATGGTTAAGGTTGGATTTGTTGTTGCTAGACAGACGGCTTTCCATGCTTTTATAAATGCCTATTCACAATATTGGAAATTTGTATTATGCCAAAATTAACAAACTCAACCAAGAAAGGAAAAAACTACCATAAAAAATTTAATTAATTCAAAAGCTCTCTCTATCAAAAAAGCAACATAGGATGACTTGCATTAATAGAAAAGGTAAGATGAAAGAAAAAGAAAAAGAAAAAAAGACAAGATTGATAGACTATAAAAGATAAGAATTTTCTATTAAAAACGACCTTTTTTTTATATTATTATTAGAGCAACTAAATTACCATTTATTACCTTAAAATGACTTTTAAAACTTTTTTAATTAATTGGAGGGTCCGACTAATACAAAACTTATGAACACTATGAGATTAAAACTTAAAGGTTAAATATTAATAAATTAATAGCTAAAGGTGCAAAAATATAGTTAAAAGTGTTAAGTTGTGAAGAATGATATAGATGTGACTCGTAGTTTAGAGCGCTATGCAAACAACGAGTGTTATAAATATCAGGCCAATTGTATAGATCCATTAGGCCTTTTTTCAAATAAATTTAATTGTATATATTATAAATAAAGATAAATTTTTTGTATTTGTAAGTCATCACTTGATAAGAACTTTTAGTACAATCGTGGAGTAGGTATAATTGTTGAGCCATGTGAATCTTTGTGTTGTGTGATTATTCTTGACTTTTATTTTTATTTATTATTATTATTATTATTATTATTATTATTTGCTTGATTCATTTCTTAATAGAAAGATACAATTTTAAGGATATTTATTGTTTGGTAAGTGTGTAAACTTTCTTGTAACAATAGGAACTAATATTATTAAGTGTTATCCTTCTAACCTTTCCACCCCTCCTTCAAAAAATTACCAAACAAGATTAAAGGGTTAATAACCCTATAAAATTTAACATTTAACCTCCGTTGACACAAAACCAAACACATCCTTATTATATATGTAAATTAAAATACTAAGATGAATTTACTATATACTATTATGTGAAGCAGCATTTTCAACCAATCAGAGTTGGACAAGAGTAAAAATAATACCAATAAGATGTTGTTGCATGATTTATAAAATAAGTTGATTTGTAATGTTAAATTGTCCCTTAAATTAATTACTGTCCGAATATTAATCACTTTCTCCATTACCTCTAGCCCTGGATTAATTGATCTTCTCATAACTATGGTTTATATGTTATAAATTGTCCCTTTGATTTGTATTACGTATACCTGTGAATTATCTGTTTTTCCATCTCCAATAGCTCCAAATTTGGTCACATCAACGATATCATTGGAAAGACTATAACGGGTGGCTGAAGTAGCTGTTCCGCAGCTTACCAAGCACAAAATCAAGATTGTTGCAAGAAGTTCCTGTACATTAATAATAAATAAAAATCATTAAAAATTTAATTCTTAATAAAATATAATATACTAATATTATGTATTTCTATTGTGTAATTTGCCGAATTTCACAGTTAAAAGTGAAAAAACGAAGATGCTGAAGAAGTTGAGATTTATACCATCTCAAGAGAAGCAGTACTAGAGTTGCAATATTGCAATTGCAATTTGGGGAGATGAATGATCTTTGTATGAATAAGTTAATTTTGTTTTTGTACATTTCACTGATGATCTTTTTATAGGGATGGAGTCCTGAAGGAGGATAAGACCAAATAAAATCTACATCTTCCTTGTTTGGGATGGAATATGAATACTATTAAATGTGAAGATATTTAAGAAGAAAAAAAATAGATTTATCTCCTTTTACTGCTTATACTAATAGATTATATTGCATTCACACCTATGGAAAAAGGGACATGTATAATGATTCTTACCCTTTTATTCATAAGCTTCCAAATATTTCAATCTCATGTTGATTATACACAGATCATGTTAATTTCATAATATGCACTAATTAAGTAATATCGTTTTATCACAAGATATATATATATATATATATATATATATATATATATATATATATATATATATATATATATATATATATATATACTCTCTCAATTTGAAAGAAATTATCCGTCTTTTTATTTATATTTGTTTCAAAATATTTGTCTAGTATGAAAAAAAAAATAAAGGTCAAAAATTATAATTGAATATCCCAATATTCTCTCAAGGACTCTATATATATGTCACCAAATTAAACAAGAGATTATTTAAAAAAATGTTAGCAACTTAAACATACTAGAAGCCTTGTATTAGAATTTAAAGACATTAAAGATATCAAAAATAAAAACATAAGAAATGCCAAATTAAAGAAAAATCAATATTTTTTATTGAAAATTATATTTAATTTATAATGCTCATAGAAATTATAGTTTTCTTTTTTTCAAATATTTTTTATCTCACATTGGAGATAGAATTAATGATTGATAGACAATTCGCATGGAAACATGTATAAAATAAAAACTAAATAACCCAAAAATATATATAAAATAAAAATCATAACTAATGAAAAAAAATTAAAAATCCATGTGCAGCAAAACTTATTTTGTCGCCATAGATAGATCTCTATTTACAAGGTTGTATAGACATGATTTTTCTATTTTTTTCAAATTTGACAAGATAGTAGCATTTTTTTAATACACTATAAAAAAAACAATCAAATAGCGATGGATATCGAGCAACGGATTGCAATCTATCATTAAATAGTGACAAATTAACGAATGAACAATGACTCGTTATCAAGATGTGAGTTTCAAGTATGAAACACCGACAACTAGCCTTAGATTTTCAGCGATGGACTTTAAGTCGATCACTAAATATGGGGGCAAAATATTTATGGGTATTTTAAAGATGATTTAGTAAGGAAATTACGGTGAAATCAATGATGGAATCCTAATTCGTCGTTATTTTTGGATTTAGGATTAGCGACGAAATTTATGTCGCTAATTGCATATTTCCCTCGTAAATTAATGATGAAAATTCCATTGCTAATATTTAAAAAGGAAAAAAGAGCAAACTCTTCAAATTCAAAATCGGTGATGAACATTTATTTTCGTCACGGATTAGCAACGGAATTGCGTCCGTCGTTAATTATAAATCCCTAAATGACGAGATCTCTTTTCTTTTTCTCTCATTTTCTTCTTCCTCTCCCTATCGTCCTCTCGTCGTTGCTTGCAATCCCCACCTAAAACCCCACTCCTCCATTCCCTATAAATCCTCACTCCTCCACTCCCTATAAATCCTCACCCACTTTAAACTTTTTTCTTCCCAAAAATCCTAATTTCCTCCTTTCACTCGTTACCTCCACTTGTCTCCAAAGGTAACTTCTCTCTCTCTCCCCCCCCCTAAAAATTTGTTTCTTTTTTTTTATAATTATTAGGCTAATTTTGATTAATTGGTTAAATTTTAATTTTTTCTATTTAATTGTTAATTGGTTGATTAGTTTTTTAATTTGTTATTTTTGTTAATTGTTAGGTTAATTTTTTAATTAATTTTTATTTAAAATTTAAAATTAGGGTTAATATGCTTATATTAATTTGAATTATGGTTAAATTAATTAGGTTAAATTTTATTGATATTTATATTGCAAGTTGTTAATTATTTGTTATTTAAAATTAAATTTAATTAGGTTTTAAGTTGATTTGATTTAGGTTTAAATTAATTAGGTTAATTTTGATTAATTTTTTTATTTTTAATTTTATTTATATTACAAATTGTTGATTTTTGTTATTTAAAATTTAATTAGTTTTAAATTCGATTTAATTAATTTAATTTGATTTAGGTTTAAATTAACTAAGATGTCGAAGATGTTAAGATTTATACCATCACAAGAGAAACAATACTAGAGTGCAATATTGGAATTGCAATTTGGGGAGATGGATGATCTTTTTATCAATAAGTTAATTTTGTTTTTGGACATTTCACTCATCATCATTTTTATAAGGGAGCATAAGACCAAATAAAATCTACATCTTCCTTGACGGGTGTTATAGGATGACATCGGGGTGAGGGCGATGGTTACGAGAAATGGGCAAAAATAAATAATCACCATCTAGTATTATAGTTACTAGAAAACCATATGACTAGCTTGTTCAAAGTTCTAGGTAAGGAATTTATTACGTGTAGAGAAGATTAAAAATCACCATATCCTATCCCGTTTAAGGCAAGTTGCATTGTATATAAAGTCGACTTGATTTTTGATTTTTTATTATGAAAATCTATGCCTATTTTCAAACATTTGCCCATCAAATGAGTGATTTAGGACCTGGCCGATTAGGAATCTCATCCTCACTTTGAAATGAATAGATAGGAAAATGAAACAAAAAGAACATGATGAGTGCACAAGAATATTTGGCTAGTACGACCTAAATGGTATACATGAAAACAAGGCTTGAAAATAGACAAATAGGTAAATATGTAAAATAGGCAAAATAAGACAAATAGACAAGATAGGTGATATAGGCAATATAGGCAAGATAGGAAAAATAGGTGATATAGACAATATAAGCAATAATGGCAAAAATGAAAAAATAGACAAAATGAAAAAAACGGTAAAATTGGCAAAAATCATTTACGTTGGCAAAAAAAAAAGGGCAAAAAATAGCAAAAATGAAAAAAAAAGGATAAAAACGACAAAAATGGAAAAAAATCATTGAAGTTGGCAAAAACGATCCAAAAACAAGATTCGGATTGACACGACTTCGAATGTCATCATTTTTCAACCAAATAAATTTGACAAGTAAAATTAGCATAGTAGGCAATGTTGACATAAACGATCCAAATTCGAGTGTGGACCGACATGGCTTAAAAGTCTTGATTTTCCAAGACAACATTTTATGTAAAATCAGCAAAAACAACCTAAACAGAGGTTTAGACCAACACAACTCAAACATCACATTTATTTTTTAGGAGAAATTGACACAATATCGATTAATCATCACAATTGGCAAAAAATGGTCCAAAAATGAGGTTCGAGCCAACGCGACTCAAGACTCAAAATTTCATTTTTTAGGACAAGTTGGCACAATAAATGTTACCATTAGAAAAAATGGTCTAAAATGGGGTTCGGACCAACGTAATTCGATTACACGAGTAACAATAAAAATCACAAGATAATCAATCTCTTATTCCACCTTAATATTTCTCATGGTCTCAACCCTTTTCGCAAGCTCAATACACTATGGTGTATCTTAAGCACATCGGTCTAACAAATCATATAACCATAGTAATAATTTGATTATTTTTACAATCACACTAGCACAAATTAAATTTAATATAGATTAAATTAAAAGATTAAAAATAAATAATTAAAAAGGTCAAATGAATTTTGATTATCAAATTAGGGTCGATTTTGACCTTTTCAACCTCGATGGAGACCGAATATTCGATCAACTAGAGAGGTTAGATAGTTTTCCATTATCAAATTTGGATCGAATGGCTACTCGCTAGATTGGGGACTCGTTGGATTGAGGTCGCTGGATTGAGGTTATTAGACGACATTAACGACGATTGCTAGATGGCTAAATAGACTGGCGACTACTAGCATAGAGAGGAAGGGTTGACAACGGCCGTTGAAGCAATCGAAAAGGTCGGCGATGCATACTTGAAAGAGGTCGGCACGGAGAGGACAGATTAGGTGTTGGCATAATTGTAGGGTTCATGGTTAGTGTGATTGGGTGGTTAGACTACTGCTTGGATCGTGGTTAGCTTAATTGGGTGGTCGGTTATTCGTCGGTTCGGTTATTGACGATGGCAACGAATACGTGGAGGAGGGCTAGATCGAGCGATAGTTTTAGCGGCTAGATTGGGTGGAGAAGGGCTAATCGAGCAATAGTTTTAGTAGGTAGAATGGGAGGAGGTTGTTATGGTTGGCGATTATAAGTGGAGATCGACGAGTGGCTAGAGGCGTTTTGGGGCTATCGATGACACGCTTAGTGTTAGCTACCGAAAGTCAAACAACTATATGGCATGATGGCAATTGTTGCTTCGATTGGCTTTAAAGAAGTCAACGATGACGTGGTTGGACAATGGTTGATGGTGACGAGTGTGGCTAGTCGAAATTTCAAAAGGAGGGAGAGCTACGGGTTGGATTTTCTCAAGAGAGATAGAGCTAGTTTGAGGAGTGAGAAAGAGGGATATTTATACTCGAATTTTTAGGATTTTTGGCTAAATTTTAGTTTGGGCCCTCATCTAGTAGGCTTGTTTTATTTTGGCCATTTTCTCTCTTGTTTTTTCAATTATATCCCTTGATTGTACCTTTTAATCCATTTTCTTTTTTTTTTTTTTGGAGAAAAATTTAGATGTTAACGATTGTCTCCATCTTTACATCGCTTATGATGTAGAATCATTAAAAAAAAAAAACTTTTTCTTTGGCTTTGCATAGTATGCTTGTAAAGAAAATCATCGAAGAATGACAAAGAAACAGAACACAACCAAATAAGCAAAACAAACAGCAAGGTCAAATGATGAATGTCCGGCCTTAAATCACTAGTTAATTATGGGTGACCTCCCTCAAAACATAGGTTCATATGGATAACCATCCTCGAGGTCAAAGAGATGACCT